ATATATGTAAAGTATATAAAGATTATATATATAATTATATAATATAACTTAATTAATTGATATATATATATATATATTAAATACTAATAATAATTAAATATAATATATTTTTAAAATTGATTTGATGTTTTCTAAATTTTAATCTCAACACAATTCCCAACACAATCAACACACCCCTATAAGGGGTGCCATTAGCACCCCCCATTTGTATAATGTAAAATTATAATGAAAATTAATATAATACAATAAAATTTATGTTTAAATATAAATGATTAAATTGTATGAAAAAAGTAACGTATTTTAACAATTTAACTTGATTTTTATTTTTGATAACGTATTTTCATAACTTTTATTTTAGTATCTAATATGTAAAATTTTAAACATTTAAGTATCCAAATAACCGGTTATCATGTTGATGTGACGAGTGATGTGGTATCAACTCAGTATTATTTGCTGACGTAGTTAGTGACATGAATTTTTTTTTAATCTAAAATTAGTCTCTTTTTAATATGAAATTAGTCTTTAACCGATTACCTGGGTACTTAAATGTTTAAAACTTTACATCTTATATACCAAAATGAAAGTTTTGAAAGTACGTTACCCAAAATAAGAATCAAGTTAAATTACGTTACTTTTTTCATGCAATTTGTCCAATATAAATAATTTAATTGTTTTGATTAATTTTATTTTCGAAATACAAGTAGATTATTTTCCATGTGGAGATTTAATATAATGACATATATTCAAGGCATAGACGAACACTCTTCAAGTATATTCATGTCATTTGGATTGTGGCACATTAGTCAATAGTGGTTTGTCTGCGATTACTCTAGATCATTCGGGAATTAGTTAGTACGGGTAAACTGACCCGATGACCCACGATTGCTGAAAAAATGTAGCAGACAGTATATGTATGTATGCGTATTTGCAAACAATAGTAGCAAAAGTAGCAACAACAAGTGTTAATGATTATAAGCGGGTAAAAGAATTAAAGTAACGGCAAAACATACGAATAATAGGCAACATTAGTTGATCATTTTCAACATTGAAGGACCAACTAGTAATGACAGATCCAGAACTTTTGTTGATGGGCGTATTATATATTGTCTTGAAGGTTTCAATGGAACTTCTTTTGTAACAATTCATAGCATAAAATGCGACATCGATGTTAATTTGTAGCACATTCCGCTAAAGAAATGCAAGATCAAAAGCAACATCAAGACTCAATAGGCTAAAAAATTCAAACTTTTGTAACAGCATCAGCATCAGCATCAGCATCAACATCAGCATCAACATCAAGAGGCTAAGAAATCAAAAGGAAGTCAACAAGTCAGAATAAGTTTTTAGAAATACCCAAAATAGTGAGTGTAAAACAAAAAACCAAGGTTGAACCTAAAAACCAATGTTGAACTGTGTGGGATCTGTAAAATACAGACTAGGAAACCCTCCAGTAATCTTGTTCTTTGGGCACCAAAGAGAGAAGAGAAAGAGAGCAACGAGTGAGGGGGTTGGGGGAATAAGTCAGAGGAGTGGGGGCAATAAGAGAAAAGGTTAAAAAAATTATCTCGATGACTAGTGGTTTGACTGGGGGGTAACTCCCCCTACTATTGAGCTAGGTCTGTGCATGTCGGTCAACATTAAAAAGGAATTTTTTATCTGATATTTAGCGTTTATCAGAATATAAAGAAAATAGTAAATAAGAAATCTAACACGACTACTAGATTAAAAAAGCCGAAGAAATTTAAAAGTGTAATCTAATGCCTACAACAAACAAGTATAGAGGCAAGATTCGAACCTCGTTACTAGGTTCTTCGTAGTAGACGAGAAGTTTATTTAATAGCTAACTGTTACTGTAAGGAACTCGTCCCACATGGATAGAAGATGAAACTTTTTAGCTACTTATAAGTCTCAAGTAGTGGACTATTAATAACTTTCACAATGGTTTTAAGTTGGATTCGAAGTTACTGGACCATCCGTTGCTTTGGGCTTTAGGGGTGTTACAAATGGTATCAGAGCTGATCCTTGTACCATTGGGATGATGGGGGCAAACCTCATCGGATATGATGAGTCCTTAAAAGGGGGAGTTTGTAACATCTTAGGCGAATCTCACATTGCCAATGCAAATAGGAAGATTTTGGGTAGGCCTGACGAGGACGTTAGGAGTTTAAATGTGGGAGTTTGTAACAACTCGTCTAACATGGATAAAAGATGAAAATTGTTAGCTCCTTATAAGTCCCAAGCAGTAGACTACCAATAACTTCCACCATGGTTTTAAGTTGTATTTAATGTTATTGGACCAGTCCATTGTTTTGGGCTTTGAGGGTGTTACAGATGCCCCTACGTCGACTGACTGTCTTGTACTTTACCAGACAAGAAAGCCTTTCAAAACACCCGTTTCCCTTTCTAACCACTTTTACTTAATCTTTTGTAAGAAAAAAAGCAACAAAGAAGTACTGATGAAAATGTAACGAACAAAGTAGAGAAGACAAAAGTAATTGTGGAAAATATCTGAATGACATGATTATGGTCTAGCAAAAAAGCAATTCAACTGTAGTTTGAACAAGCTACGACCTAAATTATTTTACCTAACAAGATCTGGATCTTTCATCAAAGGTTGTCTTTTAATGAAATCATTAAACCAAAAAGGAATAGCACCTTGGTATAAAGATTTTGGGAGGGAAGAAATAGGTTATCATAAATGAAACTATTGAGAACATGAGGGGTAAAATTAGCAATTTAGTAAAACTTTAGGGGGTAGAATTGGCAATTTATTAAACCCCAGGGATGGGAGAGTATTAATGTTTTGTAAGTCGAGAAGGAACTCGCAATCGCAGTTAAAGAGCAGGGAAGCAATTCCTTTCTCTCCGCTCCTTCCGACGATCTACGTGCATCGTCGTCGACTGAAGGTAATTTCTAGGGTTCCGCCCTCTGTTTTTAAATAAAATTGATCCGATCGAAGCTTCCTCTACGTTTTCATTCATCTGTTTTAGTTTAGGGTTTAATTTCATCCAATGCATAATCCGCCATTAATGTTTTCATTCATAAGATCAATTTCATGATGGCAGACGGCGGCGGTAATGAACAAGGACGCTTGCGCATTTTCGGACCTTCATAGAAATACTAATCGACGGATATTGTTTCTCACACAATTCTCCAACCAGGTTAGATTTGTTTTCTCTATTTGAAATTCATTTCATGGTGATTTGGTTCAGGAGTAGAATAACGTAGACAGATGTAGATTTAGGCTCTGTGATCAATGTCATGCTTCCTAATTTCGTGTCCATTTCTGCATTTTTGTAATGATGATTTGTACGTTCTTATTCTATTATCTCAATTTGGTTAAGGAGGTTTATGAAGTAGCAAAAAGTCCATGTTATTGATGAATTTTAATTAGGTGCTTGGTAGAATTGCAAAAAAAACAACAGCAGACATATTCTTATAAACATAAATAATTAAATATCAACACTCAGTTGCTTCAAACGATACAAGCTTCCAAAGAATAATATTGTAAAAAGAAGGTGCGATACAGTAATACACTGGAATCGGTCCAGAAGACGTATTTTTGTACATGAACTTTTTCAGAGCTTACATGGATTCTCCTGCAAATATGGCATAAAAAGGCCAAGCATCCCCTACTCCTTTTTGCTTTCTTTTGGTTCATCCAAAACATATCCTACATACAAATCCTTAAGAGCAATAACAACAGTTGTAATCAGTGGCCCCATTATCGCTCCCTGCATCATGGAAATTCAACGATAAAGAACTGATCATGATGTCAAGCATAGGAAGTAAAGAACTGTGATTGGATCAAATTTAAAATGAGAACTATAAATATCTTGAGAACTAGAAACCAACTATTTCAGTATTATTCATGATGAATAACCTTAAACATTCATGACTGTCATGCATTTTCCTTATCCATGATGCACTTTCAAGATGAATTATCATACATTTTCACTGAATAATTTTCGGTTTGAGCATCTATCATGATATTCATCATGAATAATTAGTTCTTTATGTTCTCAAAATATTTATGGTTTTTCATTTGAACCTGCACCTAAGATTAGGCAAGATCCTAATTGTTATTTACCTCTAATGCAGATGGGAACAATGCCACTCCACCGATGATGCTAAGTCCAGTGAGATAAGCACTGTGCCCAGGTATGTCCTCTTGAATCTCGGTAGTACCATAGTCCATAAGCAAAAGATGAATAATCGACAAGCAAATGGCAAGCACATATTGACCTTCCAGCACCAGTTGCAATGCAGCTGGGATCGTTGAGAAGAAATAGGGAAATATTGGGAGCAAGGGGTTGATAAACGCAAGCAGCGTTGACATATACAAGAAATGAATGTTAAATAGTCTAAACAAAAGCCAAGTGAGACATCCTTGAAAGAAAGCGATCTCGGCTGTCGCCAAAAGAACCCCAGAAATAGCTTTATCAATAACCTCAACACACCGAGTCCTAGTCGATCTTGAAATTGGAATCATATACATAACTTGTTCAGTAACCCCGCCTGAATTTGATGTTATCAAAGAGTACAAAACCCATATGAAAACCATCGACTGAGAAACAAAATTGAAAATACCCGCTGCTCCAGAAACAATCGACTCGATAACTACGAAAACGAGCTTAGTGCTTCCACCCACAATCGATTTACTACTTGCAAGCACTCGTTGAACCACATCTTTTCCTTGAAAAGCAATTGCTTTTGCTTTCTCAATCATATCCTCCCTGCTGACCCGCGCCTCCTTAAATATGGCGTTAACTTCTGGATAAATTGCTTCCCATTCGCGATTAGTAACCATTTTTTTCAACCTTAGGATCTTTTCCGCATATGGGTTTGGGGATGCCAATGCCGTAGATGGTGTAGAAGAGTTAATGGGTCGTGGTGCAACTATTTGTTTCATTTCTTGAACGATTTCCGTCATATTATACTGCACTGCTAAACTATCAATCTGTTCATATACAGTTTCGTAAAACTGTGTAGTGTATCGATCCACCATCCCCGCCACATCGTTGTCGTCCATCCATTGTTTCAACCCGATTTTCTCGGTATAATTGCTCTCTTCCACATGGGATTTTATCGAATAGACCACATCTTTCCCCTCAACTCCAATCTTGTAAGAGAAAAACATAGTCCCAGCCAAAGAACCCACAATCATACCAAAAATCAACCCAATTGCCACAATCGTTTCCAACCGATTCGAAATCCATTTTGTGAGAAACGCTGTATTACGATTCTTTCTAAAACTACGATCTCGAAACGAAGAAACAGCAGATTCTACATTAGTAGATGTAAACATAAACCCTAACCCTAACAAGGTAATGGCACCAAGAACATCAAATTGTTCATAAGCCATCACAAAAACCCAAAAAGACACCAACCATCTCAACAAAATCAAAAACCCACTTCGTTTTCCTCTCCGAATTTCTTTCTTCTTTTTCTTCTTATGACCAATTAGTTTATACAACACATCTCTGATTTCGACAAGTGTCTCAATGAAAACCCTATAAATAGATACAGGTATAGCTAGTATAGTTTCTGTAAGCCCTAATTTCAGAGGCTCAGACCAAAATGAAACAAGAGTTTGTTGGATTCCTCGAAGTGGAATCGAACAAAGAACCGCCCAGAGAATCGGCCGGAGATATTCCTCAAGTAATTTAGAAACGCCGTAGAGGAGAACAATAGCAAAGGCTAATCCGGCGTGTGCCATGGCTATGTAGAGTGCTAGACGTACCTGAGAGTCTCCGGAGAGAGAAGAGTCGCCGGAGGGATCCTGGTATTGATCTGGATTGGTGGTGGATTGTGGTGGGGTTAGCGGCGGCGGTGGCGGAGGTGGATCTGGTCTGCGGGTGGAGGCTGATCGGAACATGTCTTGCCACGGCGGTGAGGCGGGGGAGGTGGAGGTGGAAGTGGAGGTGGAAGTGGCGGTGGTATTAGGATCGGAATATGGAACCAGCTCCATTTTTATAGTTGAATTTGAAGAAGTGGAAATTTGTGATGGATTGGATGTAGGATGAAGGTGACCCAATCCACAGTGAAGAAAAGATATTATTTGTCCGCGAAGTTTCTGACTTTATACAGACCTTCTTTATACGCACAGAATCCATGTGCAAAAACGTGAAGTAGTCATTATGTTTTTAATTCAGCTTAATGGTCTGCTTATAGAACTCTTATCGGGTAAACGTCTCGACAATGTTAGAGTTTTATCCGATAAGAGGCATTTAGGCATAGTTAAAATCAAAAATCTTATCTGCTAAGTGAGAAAAAAGACTATTACTTGATAAACGATATTCAAGCATAGCAAGGACCTAGAAAAGAGGGAGAAGACTCTTACCTGTTACACGCTTACCGGCCCAAAATGTTTATCAACAATACATTTTGATGGGTGTAAATGTTACCTGATAAGGCAAGTAAGTGCAGTGACTTTTGTTGGTAAACATTCGGTAAACGACCTTAAAAGCATCCGGTTTAATTACAATAAATGTTAGCAACTAAGAGCATCGTCAATAGATTCCCCATTTTATTATGAAAATCTCTAAATTTGGAGAATTCTTAACAAATGATTACTTAGGAAAAAGACACTATTTTTTTATTATTTTTGCCAATGAAAATCCTTGAAATTAAATGTTTAGGAGAGAGAAATGATTGTATTAAATATTTTAATAATATAAATAACATTTTATTCTTTAAAATGGAGAAGCTCTTGGAGATAAATCCACATTTTTCCCTGAGATTTTTTGACATTTGATTATCCATTTTAGAGAATTTGTTGCCAGAGCATTTCTAAAATATTTTTCAAAATGAAGATTTTGGGCAGTTTTTTTGCTAAAACCCAAAGGAAAAAATAGGATAAAGAGTGAAAATTTCTAAATTTGAAGAACTCTCCAAAAATTATCATCACGAGAGAAAAATGTTTTTTTTAAATTATATTTTTACTAATAAGAAACTTTGAAATTGAATATTTAAGATATAGAAGTAATATTTTATTAAATATATGTAATACTTAAATAATATAATCAATATTGTCGTCCCTAAAATGGATAAGCCAACTGAGTTGAAATTAAACAAACCCAAATATGTATTGTTTACAGGATTGGTTCAGATCGGTTCAGTTTTTGATTTTTTTAATGTTTTGGTTCGGGATGTCTGATAAAGACTTGATGAATAACCTTAAACTATTTGTTCTTCGGTTCGTATTTCTGCGACTTGAATTCGAAATATTATAACATTAACTATGCATATAAGTGTTTGTTTTTTTTCTTAATTCATACTTTCTAATTATAGTAAATCATGTTTTTCCATATCCGTGGTTTGTTAAAATTCACAACTTTCATTCTTGTAGTTTTGAAATTGCAATTTTCGTCCTCATGGTTTATAATTTATTGGTATTTTTGTTCCTAGACTAAACTCCTACCTTTAAGTATAATAGACTAAAATAACAACAAATTATAAACTATAGGGATGAAAATAGTAATAAGTTCTAAACCACAAGTACAAAAATAACAATGAAAGGTAAACTAGAAGAAAGAAAATGGTGATTTTGAAACCACGTGGACGAAAATCGTAATTTCCAACAAACTGTTGAGAAAAAAAAAGACGTAATGGGCTCTTTTAGTTATGTGCTTAATCGAAATATAAATTTCCAAGAGGACTAGAATGTAAGATCCTAAAAAGTGAAGGGGGTAATTGATATTTATCCACTTTATAAGGTCTTATGAAGGGCATGGGAATTTCTCCAAGTAAAACCCTTTTGTGATCATACAACAAGATGCGATGGGGTTCTTGAAATAAAAGGGTATTTTGGGTATTTTTCAAATATTGCATTGGCTAATCTTTCTACGAAGACATATGTAGGCCAACAAACGATACACTAGACCCATTCCTAGTAGCATCCAAACTTCTTTCCATCCTCCTTTTAAGTTTACGGTATCGAATGATGGCGAACTCTGCAACGGCCTGCATCCTCCGGCGCTTTCGCATTCATATAACTCGTCACCCGAGTATTGCACTTTTAATAGTAGCCTGAACCCGTGGTACATGAACGAAATGTACTTCAACCATTGCATAAACTTCGGTATATGCTGCAACGAGAAGAAACGAAAACCAATTTGTGAGATTATAAGTAGTTTGTCTTGACTCGTGAAGGTGCTTTTTTGCGTTTTCGAGAATATTGAGACTTTGTTTTTGTAAAATATGTAGAACTCTATTGGATTAGGGCTTGTTGTTAGCAGCTTAATGAGCTTAATAAGACTCGCAACTTATTTGGTCAGTTATTCATGACTATTTGGTATTAGGTTGATAATATAGAAAATGACTTATTCAATAAGATTCTAGGAGGGAGCTTTGTGCAAATAGTCAAGTTTTTTTACAAACAGGCCCATCTCAATTAAAACACACTCATTTTGTCTATGAAAAAACTCTTCCAAATAAGTCTTCTCAATCTATACAGACAAATTAATCTACACATACATCTTTATCCATATATCCATATAGGACTGAATGAAAAATCAATCAAACAACCCTTTGCTCTCCAAAAGTACCATTTGAGAAGAGAAGGGGGTTCTAATATATATCAAGGGAGAAAGGGTCTAGGTTTAGCCAATGTGGAACTCCAAAGTACAACATACCTCCTCCAAAGAATGCTAGACAATAATACCCGTAGTGTCAGTTCCTTAAAGTGGTAAATTTTGGCTCTGGTACCATCTAAGGAGGGGTTGTTTACTTACAACTTAATAATGAGCTTAATTGTCTGGGCTGCTTATTCGTTCAACCATACAAGAGTGTTTCTTTATGGTTTAATCATTAAGCCATTAAGCCAAAATGGTTATATGGAATAAGTCAAGACTCCTCACTTGTCCCGATTAAGCCATCTCATACAAATTCATACCAAAAAATGCCCCGGAAACAATCCAACCCTCTCTCTTTGCCTCCTTCAAAGCCATCGGTCTCCCATCCTTCAGACTGACAAATTTTTCCGACAAACAACTTAATCCATACATAACTTAATAGAAAAAAGAGTAGACAACCCCTAAGATATGTGAAACCCCATTCGAATACTCTCAAAAAGAGCCATTTAAGGAAAGAAAGGGGTTTCGACGTATATTAATGACAAATGGTCCAAATATAGCTGATGTGAGGCTGCAAGACATTCCTCAAGCAGAGGCTAGATGGGTGCACATAACCTAGAGTGTTGAGTCTTTTAGAGTGATAGACCTCGACTCTAATACCATGTAATATATGTGAAACCCCATCAGATTACTCTTCAAAAGAGCTCTTTGAGTAGGGAATGCGATTCCAACATATATCGATAATAAATTATCCAAGTTTAACTGATGTGAGACTCCAACCGTTTTTAATCTCATACCTGAACATAGTAACCTCCGGTCAGAAGAAACAACATTAGTATTAAAGAAGCAACCATGCCTGCCCTTCTAATGCTCATCACTGCAGCTCCAAACATTTCTCCTGCCCCCTACTCACATCAAAAAAAGAAGTCCATCAGTTACTTCCCCAAATGTCTAATAAGGGTGCGTTTGATATTCAAACAAAATAAAACATGACAAAATAGAACAGTTGTTCAACATGTGGTAAGACAGACTGGACATGATAGAACAAATAAAATGACCAATTTACCTTTAATGAGTTGTTTATATATTTTGATTAATTATGTAATTTATTGAATTGTAATAAAATAAATATTTTATATAACAAAATATATCATTACAAAGTTTTCGTCTAAACAATTAAAATGACACAAAAATAAACTGGAAGCCTAAAGAGCATAAAATACGATAAATAAGATTTAGAAAATGAATAAAATGTAAAGAGGAAGGCATATTTGATGTTTCAGAAGATAATTAAGTTTTATTTTGAGGTTATATTGGTAAAACATAAGTTTGTTCCACCTTGTTTAATGGGGTGGGGATGGAACACGCTTGTTCTACTATGTTTTCGTTTATTCCACATAGAAGTTCTGTCAAACATGGATCAGTGATCCATTTTATGTTATGTCATTTTCACTGTACCAAACGCACCCTAATGGATTTAAATTCTAGAACTTACTTGGCTAGTTATGGCAATCAATAAGATCGCGGACAATGTCATGGAGAAGCATCGCAAAGTTTTCTTGAACCCGACCATGAAGTATAGAATCAACATGAAAACAGTCGGGTAAGTCACGTGTGCGATCATGTCACACAACGTACTGCACACGTAGTACGCACTCAGCCTATACATATCGGCTTTTCTTTCTTTCACGAGAAAGAACTTCTCAAATGGGAACACGTATACGGCTCCAAATATTGATGATGATGTCCAGAAAATACACACATAGAATAACAAGCCAATCTGCAAGAATCGAAGAAATTGAGACAAATATCAAGAAAGAAATGTGGGTTCTTTAGTTCTATTTTTTTATTAACCTGGATATCCAACCCGCTATAGGAGCCGACTAATCCCAAGCGGACCACCTGCTTTGCAGATAGCCCGAAGTCACCGTATTTGAACCTCCATGGCCAAAAGGGGATTTTTATTCCTTCTTGTGTGGGTTCTTTAGTTCTTATTTATAGAGTTGTTCAAGGGTTGGATGACCACCCTTCCTGTCCGGCCCACTAGAAAAGCGGACTTGATTATCATTCTCAAAGAAATGGACGGGTCTGGACTGACTTGTTAAAATTAATAAGTGGGCATGGGCTACGGAAATTTTTTTGGCAGACCCGCCCAACCCGTTAATATTTTTATAAATAACTTTTATGATTAAATTTACAAATAAAATTGAAATGTTTTTATACTTATCAATTCTCACTTAATTATGATTCATGATAATAACACTTTAGAAATCTAAAAGTAAAAGCATAATTACCTCAATTGATTAATTTCTTATTATCTTATTTGGAAAAATTGTTAAATATTTTGAATTATTTTAAATAATTTGTAATTTTATATAAGTTTTGTTTTCTTAAAAATATAAAAAATATTTTAGGCTCATTAGCACATGGGCAAGCCAGGCCCATCTATGGGAAAGTTTTCAAGCCAGTAAAAAGGGCTTGAATTTGCCATATTTAGGCCCATTGGACAAGAAAAATTAGCTAGGCCTGCCTAGGCCCCGACCCAAGTCCACACAAATGATCAGCTCTAGTTCTTAACCAGAAAGTCAATGACATGAGTCTTCATGGAAACAATGGTTCTACTCTTTGAGGTAGAGGTCATGTCTACATACATCTTACTCTCCTCGGACCCCAAATTCGGGTGGGATATACTGGGCTCGTTTTTTTTTGTTTGATTTAGTTCTTAACGAGATGAGTAGAATCTTACCTGATCTCTAAGGTGAGCCTCGGTTGCATAGCTAGATTTCCACCATAGAAGGCCTAACAAGACTGCAACTCCGAGAGATTGAACTACTCGTAGCGTATCGAAGTAATCTCTCCATCGTTCTCTATACGTTCTCTTGAATAATATCAAGAACTGATCCCACCAACTTATTGTCCAATCTTTCTTCACTTGAATGGCTAATCTGAGATGTTCCGGGGCTTTTCCCGTTCTATGATTTGCTTCCTTCTCTTTGGTCTCGAGTTCGGTCTTATACCTGAGTTGTACATACTAGTTGCATACGATAGATTAGAAACTATTCGGTAATAAACAAAATTTTGACAAGAATGTGAGAATATGCCAGTACAACAAAATTAGTTTTATAGGATGCCTAAATTGTCTAAGCATCCTAATTTAATAATTTATAAAACTTAGGCTCATAGGACCAAACTATGAAGCATAATATCTAAAAGCATTACAATAGGTTTATAGAATGCTTGTAGACGTTTTAACAAGTTTTTAAGACTTTTTAAAAATAAAGTGTCATTTTAGCTATTTTATAAGACACTTTCATAAACCCATCTTTTTATAGGACACTTGTGTTTATAGGACAGTTTATAAATAGTGTTGTAAAAAATAGTTAATGCACCACTTTATTTCAAAAGGGTCCTAAAAAACTTGTTAAAACGCCTAAAATCATCCTATAAACTTATTGTAACACTTTTAGATATGACGTTTTTTGGTTTGGTCCTATAAAGTATTTTTTAGGACGCTTCTACATTTTAGGCGTCCTATAAAATCAATTTTGTTGTAGTGTGCAGATCTCATTAGATTATTCTTCAAAAGAACCTTTGAGGAGAGAAGGCAGGTAGATGGTCCAACTATAGCCAATGTGGACTCTAACACGTACCCTTCAACAAAAGCTAGATGACACATTGTCCCAGGGTATTGAGACCCCGGAGTGTTAAGAGTTTGGGTTTGATACCATGTGAGCCCATTAGATTACTCTTTAAAAGAGTTGTTTAGGAGAGAAAGAAGGTTTCAACATATATTGAAGAGACATGATACAAGTGTACTTGATGTGGGACTCTAACATGCCCCTACAACATAAGCTAAATGGTACAGATCATTCCAGAGTGTCGAGACCCTAGAGTAGTAGACCTTGGCTCATTACTATGGAACCCCATTAGATCACTCTTCGAAAGAACAACCTCCTTTTCTGCCCACTCTCCGTTCACACGGTTCTCAAACAGAGGAGGAAGGGTGGCAACAAGTATTTGAGGAGAGAGGGAGGTTCCAACATATGTTAAAAAGAAATGGTCTAAATCCAGCCGATTTGGAACTCCAACAAATAATATGGAAAATGAGATGCTAAAAAGAGGTCTTACTCTAATTACTGCCCTTTCATATTCACAAGTGCCTTTAGGAGTTACGATGTCGTCAGGGGTACTAATGTCATTTACTTGACCGGTTGCTAAATCTAACAAGAACTCTGCAGGATTCATGGCTATGTCCGGGATGAACCTCAGAGACGAGAAATAGCTCATTGATTCTCTTGCCTTTCCGTAGTACATAGGGTGGCCTTCGGATATCAATAAGATCTTGTCAAACATATGAAACATTTTACTCGATGGTTGGTGGATCGTTGTGATAATCGTCCTCCCCGCCTGATCCGAAAGAATAAACACCATTAGCAAAATTTTCAACTTCTTGTGCTACATGGGGTTATAGCATGTTACCTTGATCAAAACCATGTAAAAATATGTTCAAAGGGAGGTTTATTTAGGAACCTTAACTATTTTAGGAACTTAAGAACCATTTTTTTTGTGAGTATTCATGCTGAATAACATGATAAAATATTAATGAAAAGTGTTATGACAAATATTCAGTCATAATATTCGTCATGAATACTCACAAAATAGATGGTTACTGAGTTCCTAAAATATTTAAGGTTATTGAATAAACCTGCCTCATGTACATATTTACACAGTTTTGATGCAACTTTTTATAGTGTTCTAAAACCATATAAAAATATATCTTCTTTCAGGGTAAAAAGATGATCTTTTTACAGGGTTCTAAAACCTTATAAAAAGATCACGCCGTGTAAAAGATGACCTTTTTACACGGTCCCAAAACTGTGTAAGAAGGTGCACATACATATGCTATTGTAACTTATTACACGGTTGTAAAACCGCATAAAGTTATGAATTCCCGTTGTGTAAAACCCCTCGTTCTGTTGTAGTGTACCTTGGCATTTTCTCTCAAAATCTGAATGAGTTTATTAGCTGATGTCGAATCAAGTCCAGAAGTTGGTTCATCAAGCAACAACAATGAAGGATCAACGAGGATCTCGTATCCAATGCTCGTTCTTTTTCTTTCACCCCCGGATATCCCGCTTATGAATCCTCCTCCTACTCGTGTTTTACGACATCTTTTTGTTTTAAAACCAAAACAACGAATTAGCAAGGAAAACATTCATATAACATGATAATTGGAACATAACTTTAAACCAACCTTTCGAGTCCTAATTCTTTAAGAATGACCTCGACTCTGTCGTACTTTTGCTTTGGGCTCATGCTACTCGAAAGTCTTAAAAATGCAGCAAAAATCAAAGTTTCTTCGACCGTTAGTTGTGGGTATAGCACATCGTCTTGGGTCACGAATCCGATCCTGTACATAAAGCCAATTAGTAGAATCCAACACAAGATGAAAGATATACATTTATATGGCTTAATTATGGCTAATAAGCTAGATGAAAAATTAGCTGATAGATTAATTATGTTTGGCAAAAACTAGTTGATATTCTAGTTGACAACCGACAAATCTAAAATAAGCAAAAATGACAACGTTAAAAAATTACTCAATTCTAACATTATATAATATATAACTAAAACAAACCACTAATATACTTCATATTAAAATCAGTAGTGATAAAAATAAAGAGCTCTTTAATTAACTGAAAAAATAAGCTAGTTTATAGTTGTAGAACATGGGCTTTAACGGAGTTGAATGACTATAGCCCACCTTCTTTTAAGAGCTGGACTATATGGAACCTCGTTATATGTGACGGTTCCCTTGACGTTTTCACGTAACCTTCCCCCAATCACCTTCAAAAGAGTCGTTTTTCCGCTTCCGGAAGGACCCATCAAAGCAAGGATTTCACCCGGGCCAATGCTTCCCGTGATACCCTTCAAAATCTGCTTATAATCATCATGTTCACTGTTCGACTGCGAAACCATCTTTGACATAACCGACTTCACTGGATTGCCGGGTGTTGCATTGCTCATTTTCACCTTAAACTCTATATCTTCAAACTGCATTCAAAATAAGAAAACTTCATATCTTGTAGTATAACAAATTAGTGTCAGGTTTCGTAAGGAACTAAAATTGATTAGGAACCAGGAACCTCTCAATAACGTAACACGTGACATATTCATCACGAATATCAACGTATTATTCATCATGATTGTGTGATTCATGATGAATAACATGTCTATATTCATCATGTATATGTGATTCATGATGAATAAATTGTTCATATTCATCATGAGTGTGTGATTCATGATGGATAATATTCATCTTAAAGAGGGACACATGGTGCACTATGAGCGGTTCTCGGGTTTCTAATCAATTTTGGGTTCCTAAGGGAACTTCCCTCTAACAAATTACTACAAAAAAATTCATTCAGTCATTTCATCAAACACCTTGAGAAAAATGGGAAGCGGGCGGTCTTTAATGGAGGAGACGGTATCTTCTTGGATATCAATCTGAGCACTCGATCTGTTTCTAAGGTAAGTTTGAGCCATAAAATCGATATTATGAACAAACCCGTTGTTGTTGCCCGTAATCTGCATTGAACCCATCGGTGGTGGTGGAGATGATGACAAATCCTCGATCTCATCTTGAGTCCCGGAGTCCATTTGGCAATCCGAAATGATCGTATAACGAGTGTTGTTTAATGGGGGGGTTTTAGATCTAAATTGTTTCAACTAAAACGTACCAACTATATAGTCTCTTTGATTCTATTGTTGAACAGCATGTCAACAATTTTAGATGCTAAAAGATTTGCGAATTTGTAGTTATAACACACCCTTGGTGCCATAATCTCTGACCAACCACCCCCTAAGTTCATCATGTCAAGAACATGATTTATGTAAGAACTACTGGACTCTTATCTTTCTTCCCAAATATATAATCTATTTTAATCCTAGTTCGGATGAACATAAGCTAACTGATATGATACGATACTTGGAGGGGTGTCTCAGGTTATGTCTGATCCCGACAAATTATGACTGTAAGAAATCAGTCTTGATAAACTCAACGACCACAATTATTGTGTACGCTTGGAATCGAACCATGGCAAATAGGAATATTCTACCACTTCCTCCAGGACCTCAACCACTATGTCACAACCCATGTAGTTTACTTCTAGCAGCGTTTCAAGAACTTTTTGTCAACTTTTTCTATATATACTTATGCTATAGTTTTGGTTAATGTATTTAATGATGATGATTCCCTTGGTCAGGGTTAAACTTGAATAAAAGGGGTGATGAATCTGTTTATTCGTTTCTTTGCTAAATTAATCAGAATTCTCGTCTAGGTTTAACCTATTATACCGAACTTTTAGGTATAACCTTTCGTTTAACCTCCCGTTCTTCATACTTTTTCTAAAATGAAAAAAGAAAATGCAAAATAGGAACTGGATCGGAAAAAAGAGGGATTCTAGTTGTATAATATCTGAAATCGTTGAAATTGAGATCTTATTCAAAGAGAAAGATCTATATGATTGTATCGAAAGGCCCGTTGAATTGGAATCTTTATTGGTATCGGAAGATTCATTCTATATATTAATCCAATCATATTATTCCAGTAAATTACAGGATCGTGGATAATTTTGATTTTCGTATTTTGTCTTGTGTTTTGCTAAAAAATTATTAGATACCATTATACATGATTGTCAAAACTCAAAACATATGTAGCGCAAACTGCGTACGTGTCTTAACCATCGCTATATTGCAAGGTTTTTTAACCGATGGCCTCAAGCCGGTCCACACCGTCGGTCCTAAAAACATCATAAAAAGCGAAATCGAGTACACAACAGTCCATTAGATGTTTGGTTTAAGAGCCCGGTGTTTATGACAAGAAGCCCAGAAAAATTGTTATTTCCATGTTTTCGTTCGTAATTCAGATTTAATTATATTATTAAACCATGTGGTTTATTAATTATATTGTTAGAATATTTAATGAATTTAACACTCTTAACAAATTTTTAATAGTTTTATTAAGAAGCAGTATCTGAATCGTTAAGGCTGAATCTTGTTTTTCAAAAAAAAATTTGCTTCTTAATGGTTCTAAAATCCTCTAAATGATTTTGTATATTGGGTCTTCCTTAACCATTTAGCATCCTAATTTCATTCTGAATAATTACTAAACAATTATATTTCATTTTGCTTTATATTATAAGAGCATTTTAACCATCTCAACCACTTAATCATTTTGCATCAAACCATTTGACAACTGTCAAACAATCTAGTAGTTTTCATAATAAAGTTTTAGATTGATATACTTCTCTATTGTTCAAAAGAAGTGAAAAACAATTAATGCATCTCAACCAGGGTTCTAAAAAGTCTCTCATGATGGTTGTTTTTTACAAGCTCCAACTGTTTTTTTTTTAACTTTTTATTTAAAATTTTATTTTCACATTTTTAGAAATTTACCTAATTATATCACTTATAAATTGTAATTGTAATTGTAAGGTTATAGATTCTAAAGGTGATCATGCGGGTTTGGGTCTGACCAGGTCATGCTTAACATAATATTTTTGTTCACGGGATCTAATATAATAAACCCAAGCTTGCTTTTGTGTGTTCATGGACTTGTGCTTACCCACCTTATAAATGGGTTGGGGGCTTGCCCACATCCTATTTACGTTTAAAAAACATAACTTATATAAATCATAATATTTTAAGATCGAGATTCGAGACGTATTATATAACATATCACATTTATATATAATATATATATATATATATATAGAGAGAGAGAGAGAGAGTTTGTTTCAAATGCAATTCATCACATTTGTACAACCAATGCACCCTAATAAATTGAAATATTTATGAAAATGACAAAGAGTTTATATATTATAATTTAAATATTTATGGAAGATGAATAAGCTTCATTAATTATGATCAATATACTTTATATTAGGAAACAATCAAAACTTCTATTAAATTACATATTCATTAAATTAAATGGACGGTTGAGATTGGATTGTATTGGTTGTATAAATGTAAAGAGTTGTATAATAACTCATCTCTATATATACATACATACATACATACATACATACATACATACATACATACATACATACATACATACATACATAGAGTTGGGTTCACGTGAGATCAAGAGTTTTTTGTGAGATTCGTAAGATAAATTTATGTTCATTGATCAACTTTATAAGCTAATGGTCTAAAGTTGCACGGTGACAATTTTGTGATTATTAATATTCATATTGTAGATCTAATTTAAGAGTTGAGAATTGGTCTTACGAATCTTATGAAAAACCCTTGATCTCACATGATTCCAAATCTTCATCTCAAAGTCACTTTTAAATCTTTTTAATAAAAAACAATAAATTGTTTATTATATATAAAATTTAATCAACTATAATAATACACTGGCCGTGCGGGCTTGTTCGATTTTTTTTTCCATTCTCTAAATCCGCCTATTAACTTTAGCGATCCAACCCGAGCTAACCTAGTTTTTGGAGAACGACTTCTAACGGGACGAGCGGGTTTGGTCTAGCGCACCGTACCACTAGTCAACAACTCTAATGAATTCACACACAAGTCATGAAACCACGTTTAAAAAGAATCTATTGCAAGTTCTATTTTTTAATATTCGATCATGGACTTATTATATGATATTAATATATATAACTTTTTTAATATTAATTTAAATTGTTTTATATTATTTGTAGAGAGTAATAAAAACCAATGAAATCCTATAAACCATTCTGATCTTATTTTTCGTTAAAATTCACGAAAGTTGCTAACATCGAAATCTACAAAACGACGTCGTTAGGAGGTAAATAGGTCGCAATCTCACACATAGATGATAGTTGTGATGGAAACAAGATGACTCGTAATCGTAATCAGTCTCAGAGAGATGGAAGAATCGCAAGAGATTTTGTTGAACTCGCTGGCAAACGCTGGAGTTCCGATTCCACCGGAGGTTTTATCAGTTGAAGATCTAGCACCGGAAACCTTGGTGTCGATCTGTGCTCATTCTCTTCGTATAATTTCGAACTCGGAATCCTTTCCGATCACTTTACCGGACTCAATGGCAGATCGTTTCAAAATCTGCACCGATCTGGCTTCGTCAGTCAAAGACCTAGGTTACATCGGCGACATGAGCTTCCATAAGGTACTAGTACTATTCTCTTATGTTTATCCTTTTGTTCAGCTAACATTGTTGATTGATTTATCTTGCTGTTTGATTTTTTTTTATTGATACGTTATTATGCTCTTTTCAAGTGATTCGTTTAGTGTTTTACGTACTACTTGAAGTTTTGTGAGTGATTCTGTTTGAAGTGGTCACCAGAGGCATTATTCCGTACTTTCTTCCTTAGAGAAAAAATATGCGATTTGGATTTTGACGTCAGATGAACTAATTTCAACTTAAACATTGATAAATAATGGTACGATTTTTTTTGTTAACTGCGTTAAAGCTCATTAGATTGCTGGGATTAATTTGTGAGAAATGTTATATCAGTTTGTATTTTAGAAGTAATAATTTTATCTCAAAATTCAAAATGTATCCTCCCCTTTATTAGATTCAATCTAATAAGTAGAATTTTTAGATTAATACTCGATAAATTGATAAACTATCTAAGATCACATTTTTAGATTAATACTCGAAAAAAATTACCCATTTTGATAAGCTAATAATAATATATTTAGGAACCCCTCCCTTAATATCATAAATTGATAATTTTTGAAATTAGAAACATGACCAAGACAATTTAGTGAAATGTGATTCAAATGTTGATTGTTTTTCCTTAAAATTTAAATCTAGTTGAATGTTTCTAGTAAAATTACAATGAGTGTATATGATTATTATGAAACAATGAACATTATAATGAGTCATTAATTGCATAAAATGAAGAAACAATGAAGTAATGAACAATATTAAGAAACAATTACCATTACAATTAATTATACACCGTACATCATATTGTATTAATTTCCACGAATATCATGTACAATGACTCTTTTTGTTATATTAACTCAATGAATATGATCTTTTATGTAATCAAAGTTCAACTAAATTGTATCGCTAAAACGCTCTTGAAACTTAATTAATATTAATTTATCGGTTAACTAATCATCCAGATGCTTATGGGGCAGAACAGACTGATTGATTAGTTCCTGTGGTCGTAGATCCAACCAGCTAGTGTGGTGGATAACACACTGTGCTGTAAGCTGAACTGTTCACCTTGTAGGCAGGGGGGTGGCCATTGTGGCTTCCCTCACTTATATATTGGGATCTCTTATGTCTCTATAAGCGCCCTTTTAGAAAAGGAATCAGGGATACTACATATTCTAACAGAAAGAATAAACAAAGAAGTAAGTCTTTGTAAATTGTTTATACTAGAGATATAATTGGCCTAATTAGGGTTATCTAAGGTTGTAAACTAATATACTTCACTAGTTTGTAATAATCAAATTAGATTAACCTATTATACTATTATTGTTCTGAAATTATTCTTAGAAACAGAATATATCTCTTGCTTACGGCAGTTCCTGTATCCATCTGAAGAAGACATGTATAAGTTGATAAGATTTTTGGTTGGGAGGCTCTCTGAATCATCTACAACTGCAGTATCACCAAACGCAAAGGATTTGCATACCAAAGTTGAAGACCTGAATCTGAGAAGTCAAGAAGCAGTGTCAAATTCAATCCAATATGCTGAAAAAGATATTGCAGCTGATGACATTAATAGAGATGGGAAATCGAACACTGATAATGTTGGATTGAGTGGTATGGAAAACGGCATAAGTTTAACCGAGGACACCCAGTATTCAAGAAACTCTGCTGGAGGTGACAGAGGGGTTATATCTCAGGAAGACGGTCAACATAAACTCGAGCAGGCACAAATGTCTCTTCAAGAGAAATCATCCCAGGCAAGTACACAGTTGCAGATTTTTGTATCAAGACCATATTTGGCATGCATAAGCTAGCTTGTTTTTGAGTTTATGAAAAGCACCGTTTGATTGGCCATAATCTATCTTTTTTAGAAGTTGTTTCAACTTTCAAGTAACTTTTCAATAAGCTCCTGGGGCTTTTTCCATTTTTTCCAATTATGCCCCTTAGAGCATCTCCAACAAATTCTCTAAAATAGAGAAAATAGAAATTGAATTATTATTATTAGTTTATTTGAAGTTGTTTTTAAAAGTGCATTGGGATGATAAAAATTGTAGAATATTTTAATAATATAATTAATGTTGAAATCTCTAAGATAGAGAATATGTTGGATTTGAATTATAATTTTGCAAAAGATTCTAACTTTTGGTTCCCTATTTTGGAGAAATTATAGAGAATATGTTGGAGACGCTCTTATATTTTTCCAATTAGTTTTTCAACATATTATTTTACGTCATTTTACGTTGTCATCTAGCTTATCTATTGTTTTCACCAAACATATATAGTTTAGCCTAAAGCTAGATTTATCAGCTAGTTTGCCAAACATAGCCCAAAGCTCTATTACAACATAGTTGCATGTTGATAATATGCAAGCCGTTTTTATAAGTAATGATGAAACACTTGGCATCAAACATAAGGAGGAAGGACTTGAAAATGTTGCCACTTTTTTCTCTTTTCGACAAGTACTAGTAATAATTTTCTGTGCTATCTTTTCTATATGGAGTAAGAATACGGAAGTTTGTTTTGATAAATGTCTACCATTTACAGACGAGTCACAAGACAGAAATGTTACTAAATCAAGAAAATGTGACTTCGGATGAAGTGACTGCAAAGTCATTAGAGTTGCAGCGATTGGAAGAGCAACATGATTTGTTGAAAGCGGCTGTGGAAATGGCTTGCGATGAACAAAACTCTGTGGATTCATACATTGTGCAGCTCACCGAGCAAGTAGATGCAAGGAGGCGAAATCTAGCGGAATTGGAGTCAAAATGGTATTAAAAAAAATGTCTTGGCATCTTTAGCAAATAAATACAGAAAACACCCATGATTCTTTATTTTGATCTTTAATATACTAATTTACTTTATGGAAGGTTTCAAACGAGAACACAAATGCAAGAACACTTGTAAGCCCATCATTCTATTTTAGGTCACGGTTTTAGAAGCAGTAAAATATTAAATAAATGCTTACCCTTTTTTTGGAATATAGAAGGCATGTAGGGTAAAATGGGAAAAACTGCAATCACATAATGAACAGACATAATCAATGATTTTGGACGTGATCATCACTAGTTTTCAATAAATCACAGCATTATCACATCATAAAAAGTCTTCGATTTATCAATGCATTATCACAGTATTATCATATTGTTATCAATGTATTATCGACAACGGAGGCATCGACATAAGAAATCTTTGATGATACTTGCAACATTTAAGGGATAAAAGACAAATCTAAGATAACAGAAAATTGTTTATAAATACTAATTTATTTTCATTTATTATGGGTTAATTAATTTGGAGGTTCAGAAGTGTTCTCACATTTTTGTTAAACATGGGTGTTCTCGTTTGAATCCTGCCATATACTTTTTTTGTCCCAAAACAAATGTCCGAATTTTTTTTACTTTAGTTTGTCCCAAAATAATTAATCAATTTCAAAAGTAGGGGCCTATTGTCCAATTCTACGGTTAATTATGAGATGGAGAAATTCATTACTCTCTCTATTTATTATCAAGTGTACGATTTGTCATTTGGTTAATTAAAAAATGTAATAATTACACATTTCTAAAACTGTACCTCATTTCATTATGGACATTTATATTGGAACGAAGGGAGTAATTCATTGTGTTTAAAAACATTAATATCTAGACTACTACAGGAAAGCCATCATGAAGCCTTTAGAAGATAAGAGAAAAAACCTTGAAGAAGCTTTATGTGCAAAACAACCCGAGTCTCATGAAAAACATCGGAAGTGGAAAAAACTCGAGCAGGACACTGAATCAGTATTGTCTGAAACCGAGCAGAGGTAAAGTATTCTCCGCCATTCCGCTCATTTTTAAGAAATTTTCAACTCAGGAGTCTTCACAGAAACAGCCGCTCTATCTTTTTGGATGGAGGTCAGGTCTGCTTACATCCTATCCCTCCACACCCTGCCCTAGAGCGGGATATACTGGGGTCATTTCGTTTGGCTTGGTTTCTCAACAGACCCGTTTGAGCATCCTGGATATTTCGTTATAACTCAGGGAGGAAGAACTTTCCAAGCTGTCGACAGAAATTGAGAAACTACCTAAATTGGCGACAAGAAGATCCTACATTGAACGGATAAAAGAAATCACCAAGAACAGCCGGAAACAGGACATTGACATAGAACGTATCTTAAAAGAGACCCGAGAGCTTCAGTTGGAGAGTAACATGATTCAAGAACGCTTGCATCGAACTTACGCTGTGGTAGATGAAACACTGCTGAGGTAAACTACTGTCAACTCTATTCTTTCAGCTGTAGATTGGCAAAATCTGAACTTGCTTGAAATTTTTTTGACTTATGATATCAATTTTGAAATTGGAAATTAGTAGTTTCCTTCAAGCATGAAACCCTGTTTTTCTCGAACGAAAGTACAAATGCAATGTTTGGACCTACATCGGCTAGACTTAGAGCCGGTTTGTTAGCAGCTTAATGAGACTGTCATCTTATGCGGTCAACTATACATGACTCTTTGGTTAGTGGCTTAATGATGTAGAAAGTGGCTTATTCAGTAAGTTTTTAGGAGGGAGCTTTATGCAGAAAGCCATGTTTTTCCGAAACAACCCCTCCCAATTGAAAAACACGCTCCTTCCATCTATGAAAAACCCTTCCAAACAAAAACCTTCCAAATTTTTACGGACAGATTAATTCACACAAACAGCTTTATCCATACACGACTTAATGAAAAACCAACCAAACAGCCTCTTAGACCTTTTTCTTCAATACACATCAAAACCTTCCTTGTCCGGGCTTTTCTGGAGAGTAATATAATGGGGTTCCACATATTCTCACGTGACATCTGAGCCAAGCCAAGGTCTACCACTTTAGGGACTTAACCAGTTGGCTAACTGTACCTATCTAGCCCCTTATTGACACTCTGGGACAATTTGTGCACTTGTAGCCTTCGTCGAAAGAGGCATGCTGGAGTCCTACATTGACTTAGAAGACAAATTTTCCTCCATATATGTTGGAACCTCCCTTCTGTTCTCACATGGCATTAGAGCCAAGGTCTGCCACTCTATATATTCGACACTTTTGGACAATCTGTGCCCATCTAGCAGGAATGGACTGAGGTGGTGTAGCACGGGCCACTGCTTCGTTCCTCCAACGTAGTATAAAATACTATAGGGTTGTGAAAAGTGTCACCGTATCAATTTGTTGTGTGCTATCGTATATATTTTGAAACTACAATGAGGACACAAGCTTCCCTTGCTAGAGTTGGTTTGCAAGACGTTTCTTCCACCCCAGACCCGAGTTCTAATCCTGTTAGTGTCATTTTCTTAGTTTTTAGCTTCCAATTTCAGGTTTATTATGTTTCTGAAAAAAATTTGCAATAAAAAGCTTGAACATAGAACGTCACATATGAAAACACCAATGATGATTTTATGAAAAAATATCCCTATATTTGTTTCTTATAGTCAAATGGTGCCACCACTTGGAAAAATCTCTAGGTTCGTATCTGCCATCTATCCCCCTCTTGTGCCCGTCTAGCCTCCGTTGGAGGGGGCAAGTTAGAGTCCTACATCGTCTATCCATATATGTTGGAACCTCCCTTCTCTCCTCAAAGACTCTTTTCGACAGTGTTCTAATAGGGTTTCACATATTTTCACAATCTGATTTACCGAAACTAACCCCATTTATATAGGGAGTCAAAGAAGAACCAAGCCGGGGAACAAGCTCACGATTTGCTAACAGTCATCCACGAAAGTTTCGAAGAGATATCAGAAAAGATCCTCGCAACCGATCGAGCTCGTAGAGAAGCTACCGAGCTTGAAACTAAGCTTTCTCGTATCGGTACCCAAAGTTTGAACGTGGCGAAACTGGAAGCCGACCTTGACGCCATTCGGAAGGAAAACGAATACCTTCAGTCTCACACTCAGTTGGGTAATCCTTAAATCTCTAAACCCTTTGATTCAAATCCCTCAAACTCTATACAGAGAAAAAAAAAAGTCTTCACATATTCTAATTTCTGAAAGATGAATTCAGTAGGTGTTTTCTTACAATGTAAACTATGCATAAATGTAAAAATCATTATATTTTAAATTAAATATTTGATTTTTTTCATGATTTATCGAGTAATGATGATATTCGTTCTTGTGGTTTGTCAATGATTTCTATTTTTCGTCCTGATGGTTTTGGAATTACGTTTATCGTCATCGGGGTTTGCAATTTATTTCCTTTTTTTAGTCTCTTGACTGACATCGTCTGAGCATCTTCAATAGATTCTTCAAAATGGAGATTTTGGGCATGTTTTTTGCTTCAGATTCTCTAAAATGAAGAGGTATTTTTAGGACAAATTGCATGAAAAAGTAGCTTACTTCAACTTCATTCCTATTTTGGGTATCGTACTTTCAAAATTCATTTTTATGCCTGAGATGTAAAGTTTTAAGCATTCAATTACCCGGGTAACCGGTTGAAGCATTAACTGGTTATCCTGTTGATGTGGCGAATGATGTACCGGTACTTAAATGTTTAAAAACTTTATATCTTAGGTACCAAAACGGAAGTTTTGGAAGTATGTTACCCAAAATAATAATCAAGTTAAAGTACGTTACTTTTTCATTCAATTTATTCTTTTTTTAATATAGTTTCACCAATATGAAACTTTGAAAATAAATATTTAAAGAGAGAAATAATATTCTATTAGATGAATGTAATATTTTAATAATATAATCAATGTTGTAATCTCCAAAATAGAGAATTTGTTGAAGTTGAATTTATTTTTGTTTCAAAGATTTGGAAGTTCCATTCTCCATTTTGGAGATACTCTCATTAAACAACCGTTAAACCCCCAAAATATGTATTAATCGGTGCACGTAAGTTGACTCGAAAACCCACTATTACCAACAACAAATAACCCATAATTTATAGGTTTCACATTTATTTTTGACCTTCAACCTGTTAACTGGGTACTTAAATGTTTAAAACTTTATATTTTAGGTATCAAAATGAAAGTTTTGAAAGTACGTTACCCAAAATATGAATCAAGTTAAAGTACGTTACTTTTTCATGTAATTTTTTCTTCATAAAACCCAATCATCACGATTTAAATGCGTTTGATGACTTCATAACTTATATATCTTTAACGTAAATCAAAGTAAATAAATGTAGCCATTTGGTACACCCATCATGGTCCACAAGTTGGTAAACTTAAGGAAAGCTATTGCTATATGCCAATAAAGCAAAAGGGTATAATGGTCCATTAAAAAAGGTACAACTAATCAATGTGGTGTCTGATTGGTTTGAGTTTGGCTCCAAAGGTCAAAAGTACCAGGAGGTTACAAGTTCAAATCCAAGGAGGAATAAAAATCCTCTTGTGGCCACGGAAGTTCAAATGCGGTGACTCCGGACTATCTGCAAAGCATGTGGTCGTCCTGGGATTAGTCAACTCGCATAGCGGGTCGGATATCCAGGTTAATTTTTAAAAAAAGGTACAGCCCATTGTTGCATCTCCCATCATCATGGATTTGAGTGCGTTCATCGGTTAAAATCCAATAGATTTAAGTGGATACGATATTATCATCCACGAGCAAAGACCACTACGTTAAATTCTTATTGAAAAGTAATATCAACAAATAGCAAGGATGAACAATGAACAAGTACGAAGGGTTTTTAGCCTAACGGTATGTGAGTCTTTGGCCTCCTAGATCAGGGGTTCACACTTCACCAAAGATGAGAAAGGTGTGTGAGTTTATTTGTTTTATTTGTCGTATATAAATATTATATACTTAAAAAAAACAATAAACAATTATTTAAGCATGTGCAGAAAATATCCAATTGCACACCCCGGGTGGCATGCGATCGTACAAACGGATCACATATGATCGCATAGATAGAGTAAGATTGCATCGCGATCGTACAAGTCGGATCACATAGTAATATCCGATTGTACGATCGCTATGCGATTGCGATGCGATCTTACTCTTACTATGCGGTCGCATGCAAACCGATTGTACGATCGGATATCACTATATGATCTGACTTGTACGATCGCGATGCAATCTTACTATGCAATCCGATTGTACGATCAATCTAGTTTTATCATATCAGTTTAGTTTTATTGGATTCTGACTGTGATCCAAGAACTAAATAAATGGGTTATTTACTTAGATTTATTTGTTAATGAATTTGTTGAAGCTAACAAGAAGAGCATTTTTGAGTAATAATGAAATGTAGCAACTTTAAAACTTAGTGTAGAAGACATCAACTCAATTAGAAACAAAGTGTTGTTTTAAATGATTGGTTGAGTAAATAATAAACAAACCCAAATCATTATTTTGCTTTTTTCAATTTAATTCCAATTAAATTTCACTATAAAAACCCTTAGATTCAATTCTACTCATACTACATTCTCTTTGAATCTTTGAAATCTATTTCCGAAAACCCAATTCGATTCTGATAAAATGGGCATCTGGGGTTCGATGATTTCGTACAGAATTGCTTGATCTTTGAGAGAATGGAACTGATCACGTCTTTGATTGGGAGATATGATAGAAGATCGCTATTTCTTAAAAGAAAAGACAGTAATGCGGGCGAAGCAGGTATTTGTTAGTGTCGATAATCTGAATCATAGATTATATATTTCTTGTTGAATTCAATGTGTATGTGTGTGTGTGCGTGTGTGTCGGTATGTGTTTAAAAGGGATTATGTTTTGCAATAAGACATGTTTGTAGTAGATTATGTGTGTCAGAATGACAGTCAATTATGTTTAAGTAATTGCTCTTTATGTGCTTTTATTTTGCACTTTTGAAGCATACGTGTGACATTGAAAGTTCTTAAGGTGATTTAACTATATGATCCATCAATTTGTGTTTTACTGTTAGATTTTGGAAGCGGAATATCAAATTACTTGGATAATTCAAGAATTGTGTATAAAACATTTTCCAAAACCTATGATTTCGACCCTATTGCCTGGGGTATTACGAAATCAGATTTAGGATAATCCAAGAACAACGATCTGGATTTCAAGCAAAATCCAAGATTACAAACACATAATTCCTTGCTTGTTTATGTACCTTAAGAGACAAAAAACCGGCAAAGTAACAGTATGCACAAAGATCGTACCTCTGCAATCATCGAATTTAAGTCGGTTATTTTGGCGGGAGTCGTGACTATTCGGGTGTTTGGCACCGGATGCATTTCTTACATACGGATGTATTTTTTGGACCACCGCCAGGGGCAATGCCCCTTGGAACCCACCAGAGGCACGGCCCCAGACCCCCAAGTTCTAGAGATCAACTTTAAAGAATCACTTGATTAAACAGTCTATTATATAATGTATGCAGACTTTACTTCTATTTAGGATGACACAAAGATTGTTTCTGTAAAGACCCACAACTTGAAAAATGTTTCTTGATCTTATATACGTTATGTTTACATGTTAGCACGAGCGTTGGAAGAACTCCGAGGATCGCTATACAATGAACTTCGGACCTCAGAAGGAGCCAAGCGTCAACAACAACGATTATGTGGCCCCATCGTCGCGTTAACGTTCAATTTCTTGATATCGGTGGGAATAATCATGGGAAACAAATTGGTAAATCTACAAATTTTCAATCTCTTTTCTATAATATATATATATATATATATATATATATATATGTGAGGCAGGATCTACAGTAACTCAGATACCGCTAGGCCAATAATCAGAATGAACATGTTATTCCGGTTTTGTAGGTGATGGGGAGCGTTGGATTCAATTACCCGATCCTTTTAACGTTAATCCATTACACGTCCGCTTGGATGCTACTCGCCGTTCTCAAGGCTTTGTCGCTCTTGCCGCCATCCCCTCCCACCAAGTCCACGCCTTTCGTTATGCTTTTTGCTTTGGGTGCCGTCATGGCGTTTGCTTCCGGCTTGGCCAATACGAGTCTCAAGCATAACAGGTCTGTATACATCTTATTGTTTTCAGATCCTAATTACGTATCAGATATACTGGATTCGTTTGGGTTTGTTTTTAACTGTGTTTTATGATGATCAGTGTAGGATTCTATCAAATGGCTAAAATTGCAGTCACTCCCACCATTGTTCTTGCGGAATTCATTCTTTTCAGAAACATAATTTCTTTTTACAAGGTCAATAAGTCAAACCCGCGTTGGATTTGTCTGGGTGTTTTTGGTACGTGGGACGGGACTGAACAGACTTCTTGGAGAAACCGATTGAAATAAACCAATTTCCCCACCTCCGTTCACTTTTTAGCCATATTTTCTAGGAAATTCCCAAAATGGTCTTCTTTACGCAATTGTTTTCCACATTTTTCTAATAAAAAGAAAAGAAAAAATGGACATTTGCGTAAAAAAAAAAAAGTACGACAACTTCTTGTCACACTGGGGCATGACATTAGACTGTGACAAGATTGAGTGAGCAAAAATGCAGTATGTTAGTGGAACAGATATCAAGAAAATGGGATAAGATAAGTAAGTTACTAAACTATCCATGTCAAATAAAAATTCTAAAACCTTGTACAATTTTTTCACCTGTTTACCTATCTCTCACATGTCCAGTCTTGTCTACGAACCAAAATACACCCTAAAAACCGTTATCTGCAACCTTACCGGAGGTTTTTGGTTACCAAATTCGGCAGGTACTTGCTCTAGCCGTTGTTTCGATAGGAGTGGCGGTTGCCACCGTAACGGATTTAGAATTCAATTTGTTCGGTGCGGGTATAGCAACTGCGTGGATAATCCCGAGTGCCATAAACAAAATTTTATGGTCGAATCTCCAGCAGAAAAACAATTGGACGGCTCTAGCGTAAGTAACCTTTTGTTATGGTATATAATATTCATATACGACAAATAGAACAAATACACTCACACACCCTACTCACCTTTGGTGAGGTTTGAACCCCTGACCTCGTAGGAGGCCAAAGACTCACATACCGCTAAGCCAAAGACCCTTTGGTTATTTTTGTTGTTAATAATTTTACGGTGTAATGATAAAAAGTAAAGTTTCACTTGAAATAAGATAGAACCCATTATCTATTACATGTGGAGCGGTAATCCAACCATCCCGCTCATGTCTAATTTATGTTATAGATTTGGTTTCAAATTATTTAAAGGCATCCCTCAAAATCAAGCAGGTGCACGAGAGCTCACTCAGCTTAGCTCCTAATAGGTCCGCCCCTGGAACCAAACCAACTGAACCAGGGATATACATGGACGGACCTAGAGTGGTGCATACGGTGGCACGTGCCACTGTATTATTCCTCCATCGAAGGGTAAAAAAATTTAGGTTCGTGAAAGGTGCAACCGTATTAATTTGTTGTGTGCGACCGTATGTATTTTGAAACTACAATGAGAACAAGCTTTATTTGGTAGAGTTGGTTTGTAAGGCTTTTATTCCACCCCAGACCCAAATTCGAAAATCCTGTTAGTGTCATTCTCTTAGTCAAATATTGCCACCATTTGAAAAAAAAAATCATATATTTGTTTTTTATAGTCAAACGGTTATATTTTTTCCTCATAGTCAAATAGTGTCACCGTTTGAAAAAATTCATGGGTCCGTCCCTATGGTATATCCCACATGAGGTAAGTATGCAAACCTAACATCTACCGAAAAGCAGAACCAATTGTTTTTTTTTTTTTTTATTAACCTGGAGATCCAACCCGCTATGCAAGCCGACTAATCCCAGGCGACCACCTGCTTTGCACATAGCCCAGAGTCACCGCATTTGAACCTCCGTGGTCATAAGGGGATTTTTATTCCTCCTTAGATTTTAAACTTGAGACCTCCTGGTACTTTTGACCTTTAAACCCATTTAAATGGTTGTTTTTGTTGATAGGTTGATGTGGAAGACGACCCCAATAACAATACTGTTCTTGGTAGGTTTGATGCCATGGTTGGATCCACCGGGTGCATTCTCTTTCAAATGGGGTTTCACCAACACCATTGCAGTCCTCATCTCTGCTCTTTTGGGCTTCCTCCTCCAATGGTCTGGAGCTTTAGCTCTTGGGTCAGTTAGCTACAGCTACTCTTTATTTGTTAAAGGGTGTGTTTGGTATCCACACTACAAAATAAGGGTGTTTATGGGTTGGGTTGAACATATTTGAACAACCCAACTCAATGTTTGCGGTTTGAAAAATCTTAACCCAAGCCAACCCAAACCGTACGAGTTGGTCGGGTTGATACTTTGGTATACATTAAAATATTCTTCTAACATTGAATATATTATTTCTCTACTCGTAATTTTTTTTCATCATCAACCATTTGATATAACTTATCTGTACTTCTTACGTATATCGCATTCAGTTAATTTTCTCAATTTACATATATAATTTCACAGTTACTGAACATATATACGAATGAGTACATGATAGTGTAATTGTGTAATGTATATATTAATATAAACTCAACAATCATATTAAATCCAATAAATAAAAGGATATTGGGTTCATCGGGTTGGGTTGGGTTCAAATGATGGTAACTCAATATCAACTCAATACCTACATTTTGAAAATTTTACAACTCGATTAGACATTGAGTTGCTTCAGATTGAGTTATTTCGCATTGGAATGGGTTAGGTTGATCGGGTTGGTCGGGTTTTTGAGCACCCCTAGCACAAAACATAGGACAGGACATGATATTGACATGACAGTTGTTCAATATTTGGTATATGATGTTCTAAAAAAGAATTAAATTTTATTTTGAGGGTATATTGGTAAAATATAGACTTGTTTTACCTTGTTCCATGGGATGAGGGTGGAACATGTCTATTTCCATTGTGCCAACATGTTTCTGTTTGTTCCATATAATAGTCCTACTTTGTGTTGTTATGTCTTGTTCGGTAAATCAAACGCACCCTAAGAGGTTAAAGTTATAAGACTGTTTTTTTAGGGGGAACTCAAATACAAAATTTGGAGATTTCGACTCAGTAAATCGTGTTTGTTGGTGCAGAGCGACCTCGGCTACGTCACATGTGGTGTTAGGACAATTCAAGACGTGTGTCATCCTTCTCGGAGGGTACTTGCTCTTTGATTCAGATCCCGGCTATGCAAGCATCAGTGGGGCTTTTGTAGCAATATGTGGAATGTCGATTTACACATCGCTTAACATGAAGGGAACTCGGGATACAAGTAATCAGCTTCCAGAGCAAACATCGTCAAATCAAAAACCTAAAACTATCAAAGATCAAAACGAAAAGATTGATGTTGATGGTAGACCATAAATGAGCTTTTTGACAACAGAGTATATGCAATATGTAGAGAATTTTCACCTTTCGGTCATTTTATGTCAACTTGGTCCTTACTCGACACCAAACTCGTGGACAACCAAACCTAATAGGATGAAGCCCGGTCCTTGGAAGTTGGCGCAGCCCACTCAGGGCCACCAGGCAGAACTAGGACCAAGCCAGATCCTTACAAGTGTGGTACACAGTATAGGATAGTATAAAAACTTCTTGTTCCACATTTAACATGATATTAGACAGAGACAAGATACAGAACCTGAATGAAACAAAAATGCACTTTTTATTCTATCCACCAAAATCAAGATGAAACAAGATCGTAGATTACTAAACTACTCATGTGAAGTTAAACCTCTAAAATTTACCACAATTCTCACCTGCCTCCCTCTACTCTTGCTCGATCAATTCTATTCAATCAGTCCACATACCAATTACCAAACACATCCTACCAGACTTGGTTCCAAGCTTCTCTTTCATTGGTAAAACGACAATTGTTCCACATTTAGCACGACATTAGGCCAGAAAAGGACCCGGGTGAAACAAATATGCATTTTTATGCCCACTAAAATAGGTGGAACAAAGATCAAAGAGACAAAGGCGTTTTTGTTAATAGCTTGATGAACTAAACATAACTCACAACTTATTTGGTCAGCCATACACAACCATTTGCTAATGGCTTAATTATATAGAAAATGACTTATTTGATAAGCTTCTAGCGAAAGTCTTATGCAAAAACCCAAGTGTTTTCAAACGTCCCAATTCAGATTAAAAAAACACATTCCTTCAACCTATGAAAAAACCCTCTCAATCTATACACTTGACTAATTAATCCACACAGTCAGCTTCATCCATATAAAACTTCACAAAAAACCAACCAAACATACATGACTATAAATTACTAGACTACCCATGTGAAATTAAAACCCTAAAACCTACCACAATTCTTTCACCTGCCTACCTTACTCTTTGCATGTTCAGTTCTGCCCAATCCGTCCGCATACCAAACGCAACCTGCCAGACAAAAGATTCCATGCTTTTCTTTCACCAGTAAAACATCAAAAATGTTCCAAATATGAGGATGGCAGGTAAAACAATAACCATCCAAAATAAGCAACCCAAACAAAACAGACAACTGGGCTTAATTGATGATAACTGAGCTTAATATTCATACATCCCAACAAAAAAAAACTCGCCCATTTCTGACCATAAATATATGATATACAGTTTGACAACAAGACTGAAAATGTCAACCCCCCCCMCCCCCCCCAAAACAAAAGGCCCCTTCCTGAATTCCTCTCTCTATGACTTCAAAAAAGGCTCAACAAGATAACTTCCAAGAAAATAACATGAAATGCAGCAACCTAACAGAATGTGAGTCGGTCGAAAATGCTCTCCGCATTGAAAATCACAGGGGCCCCGCTTTGTATATATACACTCAGGTCAGGCCAAATATATATTCTATTTTCTCCTTTCCAAAAATAAACCTGAATACGAAACAATAAACCTACAATCAACTGGTCTCTCTATTCAGTAAGGCGGTGTTCCAGTTACTCTGAGGCTGTTGGTAAGAGCTGGGTGGCGGTGACACCATGGGTTCAACTGTGCCGCCTGTAGACTGAGGTGGATACACAGGTGGTTGTACGGTGGTTTGGGCGGTCATTGGTGAAGAATGATAAATGCCAGCTTGTAACAGTGAGAAAGCCATGTGTTGTGGTTGAGGGAAGTTGTAGAAATAATTAGGCAGTAGATTGGGTGTATCGCGATCGGCTGCAGGAGCATAAACTTGTGGATCATCACCCTGTGATTGTAGGATTAAGATGGCAATCTGTTAAGCTTCTAGATTGAATGGACTAGATACAAGAAAGCAAATGAAATGTATGAAAACTTTAAAAACCGATAAACCGTAATAACAGGATTACCAGTGTCACAAGCTATCAATTTTATAAATCTAAATAAATTATTAAAAAACAATAAGGTATTTGACCACATACACAAAAAAAGAGCATAAATCCTAGGCACAAATAAAAATCAATTTTCATTCTAATAAATCAATTATTAAGCTTCTTTATAAAAATAAAGAAATTAGAAACCCATAAATAGGGTAAAAAACTAGAGGGTTTGCATAAATGGAAGAACCAAGAAAGGGGGAAAAAGAAGTGGACTGAATGGGAGATAAGCCATCATGAATGGGCTGATTGAATTAAGCCATGTGTTTACCATTAAGCTGAAATCAACCACCTTTACAGGGCTTATGGTGCGTCCGGTACCCTGGACAGGACAGGGATCACTGTTGCACTGGACAGGACATAACAGTGATCATTGTTCCAGGTTTGGCAGGATTTTTTTATGTGAAACAGACAAGAACAAAGTGGATCCCACATTCCCACCCCCATCCCATGGAACAAGGTGGAACAAACACAAACCTATATTTTACACCGTCATCGATTTTTAGTAAGAAACTGAACAACCTCTTCAGAATAGAAGAGGGCTACTACAACGAAGAAGAATTTTATAACAATAGATGGGTTTATTATGTCCCAGAATCAAGAAATTTTGAAATTCAAAATACTTGACAAAAATAGAAAATTTGAAGTTCGAAATACTTGACAAAAATAAAAAAATATGAAGAAAAATACGTTTCTATGTTTGAAAAACCTCTTCTGACCTTTTTTTCCGATTATAACCGATGCAATCATCCATTACGATACATAAGAAAGGTAAAGACAAAAGGCCTTATAAGAAAAGAAGCGTCACAATATTTTTTTTACACATGCCCAAGTGATGGAAAATAAAGAATATCTTTTACATATCCTCCCAGTTTCTCAACTTTTGGGGAAATGATAGCAAGAAAGGTATCATTGTCTACATTAGAAAAACTCTTCACTGTCCAATATAACCTCAAAATAAAACTTAATTTTCTTCTAAAACATCATTGCATTGGTCTTCACACTTTATTCATTCTTTAAATTTTATTTATTGTATTTTATGTTCTTTAAACTTTCACTTTACTATCCTCAAAATATTATTTTTATATGGTTTCTATATTTTGGTTAATTTATGTAATTTATTAAATATTAATAATATAGAAATGTACAAAAATGGAAACTACAAGAACTTTTTGTTTTGGTGTCATTCTAATTGTCTTGATGAGAACTTTTTAATGATATATTTTGTTATAAAAAATATTTATTTTATTATAATTTAATAAATTACAAAAATTAATCAAAATATGTAAATAACTCATTAGGGGTAAATTGACCATTTTATTTGTTTTGTTCTGTCCAGTTTTGTCTTTACAGACGTTGAACAGTTGCTCTTGTTCTGTCCTATCATGTCCAGATACCAAACGCACCCATAATGTATTAAGTTAGATAGACCATTAAGCTTATTAAGTCAAAAACAAACACCCCCTAAGACCATCTATTAAATTTTCTGAAAGAAAGCCTATGGCATAGATTCTTAGATTGTATCGTCTGAATTCTTGCTTAACTAACTAAAAAAGACTTTGATACAATAGGTGAGATAGATCAAACCTGTTGAGCTGAATGAAGATCGTTATCTTTGGTTTGAGACGCAGTAAGATCTTCATTAGCAGAACTCCCAGGGGTCACAGAGGCATCATAACCGACTGATGAGCCATATGAACCGTATCCAGATGAAACACCAACATGGGTCAAACTTCCTGCATTACTCCCTTGTTTGTACTGTGATGGAACCGGGAATTTCACCCCCGCCGCTGCCGGATGCATGTATATATTTCCCGTAGGTGGTTGCTGAGGGAATATACCATGGTTCAAAAGGTGAGCATGTTGTGGCAAATACATATGTGGAAAATATGGATTATAAGGAATGTAGTTTGGATAAGGTTGTCTGAAATAAGGAAAGAGAGGGGGAGATAACGCCATAGAACTTTGGCCCGTCGTTGTAGATTGCGCCACAGGAGTCGAGCCCAATGCAGATGCAACTTGAGAACTCCCACTCTGCATGCATTAAGAACAGTAGGCACTAAAGGTAAGAAAGCAAAAAAGAACAAATTTAGTAGAAAACATGCAACGATGAGGAATAGTATGAAGAGATAGTATCAAGCATAACACGGATATATATATAGGGTCGGTTTCAGGGGAAAACCGAGAAAAAATGAAAACTTGAGGAACACCCTACTAATTTGTAAGCAATTTGTTCGGTATGCACATGTGCATAACATGTGCACGTGCATAAAAACCAAAAAACAGCTTCAATTACTTGTATGCACATGTGCATTTCATGCTGACAGTATTTGTAAGATGGTATCTATTTGATTCTGATAAGAACTGGTATTATCCGCATTCCCTTTATGAGGATGCAGATATGGTACAATCATACCCAATCCATTTACATCCCTAGCCCACACCTCCACCTTAACAAGCTAATTGAAATATGAGTCTATAAGCTAATTTTCGTTTGGTTCACAGCAACATCCCAGATCCCTCCTCGGCACTTAGCAGGCCCACTGAAATGCAAGTATACAAAAGATAGCATAACATTCTTCCTTGATTGCATAGAAACCTAACTTGTTATAAAGAAGTGTTCACAAGCCTTGAGGCAGATATATATATATATACACACACATGCAATATAATATTTGTACAATATATATATATATATATATATATATAAATACTAATTATTTACAAAGTGGGAGACTGGAGAAGAAATAAATTATATATTATCTACAAGATACTCTTCAAGGTGGGAAATTAGAGAAGTGGTAAATAATATTTTATATATATGTGTGTGTGGGTGTGTGATGCTCTTCAATAGGGAGACAGGCCAAGACGAGAAAGAGAATGGGCTTATTTTATAAAAAGTAAAATTAGCAAGTCAACTTTTAAACCCTAATTTCTAACCACCGCTCACACACCTCAAGGCCCGTCTCAGTGGCTGGAGGCATACAACTCAACTAGCCGACAACAGGCGCCGCCTCATACTCGATTTTCCAGCGCCTCGCCAAAATGTGACCATACACACACACATATGCTCTCATGAACATGTGCCTCTCAGAACACATTGACACATAGTCTGATAGCCAGTTACAACAGATGCTCTCTTTGAACAAGCAACCATATTCAAACAATCAAATATATGGCAACTTTTTCCCGGTAAGATATGTAAGCTTGACCATGATAAAATGAGCAATTGAAAACAAAAATCAGTTCCAATTCCAGCAAGTTAAGCAAGTTGGAACATGAATCCCAAGACCATGAAAAATGTATATACAGTAAATAAAGAATATCAAAAAATTCCTTACAACAATGATATACATATCACTTGCCTGGAGCTCAGGTACATCAAGTTGTACAAAATGTGGACCCACCAAATGCGGCATAAACCCAAAAGGGTAGTCCCTGGAAGCTTGAAGAACTGGGTTCTGAAATCCTCCTATAGGGGGCATCGCCTCCAGCTTTGTCTGCTCATGTTTTATAGCAGGATGAGACGAGATGTCATCTTTTGAAGGCAATGCATGTTCGGAGAGATGTGGTAGTGGATGATCTTGAACTTCACCTTCCTGAGCTGTTTTGGCAACATTTTCGTTACTGCCACCAAAAAAATGTAAAAGAAAAATTCAAATAATATTTTATGAAAATTAGCCACACTAGGTAACGTGGATGATGCTTAAGTTGGAATCGGCAGGAAGGCCAATACCAATGTCAAAGAGAAAACAGATACCTACTTTGGATGCACTAGAAGATAATAGGGAGCAAAGAGACTCATGAAAGAAAACAAAACAGAGTAGTGATGAAAGCGTCTACCTCGAAGATGGTTCTGTAACAACTTCTCCATTTGGCTGAGTAGCTTCAATCACAGATAGAGGTCTGCAATCATCAGGAGTAGCATCCAAACTTCCAAATGTGAACTGACTTCTAAAGTTTTCAGGGACTTCAAAATGATCAGGGAAAATAACAGGTTGATGAGATGAAAGAGTCAACTTCTCTAACATCACATCAAGCTTTGGATCTGATCGTTTCAACTCAGATTCTGCTCCAGGAACCAAATGAGCATTGTTGATGGCCACATTCATGTGCTCAGAGGCAGTAACTATATATATAAGTTAAGAAAATAGTGGGATCAGATACAAAGATGTTACAGTAATTATGGCTACAAGTTCCATGGTTTTATTGATCATCAAAAGAGAAGCAATGGTAGAAGAGTTGGTCGTTGGTCGTGCAAACATACAAACTTCATATATAAAATCAGAGCCAACCAGCATTTTCGGGATCCATGTGCATATGATCCCACAAGATAATGATACAAGTTATACCACTAAGAAACTACCCAGCAATAAAGGCAATGTCCATCGTTTATCGACCCACATAAAAAAACAAGCAACGTTAGCAAGAAATTAACAAGCAGGCATCTAGACCCAACAAGGGAGTGAGATGTGAAGGTGCATCATAAATCAAGTTCCTTAGAAGTCGCATGCTTTTTGAGGCAAAGCAACAATGAATCAGAATTCATGTTTGCAAGAAAATAAGCAACTTTGAACTTATGCACTATTTTGCTACATGTGAAATATTTTGCAGAGATCTTTTTCTGAATCCTATGGCGCAAGATGCCACAAAAAGACTTGATGGATATTAGGATGCTTACAGGAACATTTTCCAGAAGACTAACAATGTTTCAGATATGTAAATATGTAGGCTCAAGAAACTGGCATTGACAACAATCTAGGTGGTGGAAGCACACAAAGACAAAAGCAACAAAGTTATAACAATGAATCATTTTTATATGCCCAAATTCAACTTCTATATTTCTCTCATCCAGAAACAGACATCAGTATTTGGTGTCTTTAGTAGATAGCCAACTCGTAATAGACAAACTGGCTGTTACAGTTAATATAAGAAAGTTGACAAGCATCATCAAGCATGGCAAGTATAATAGCTGATTAACAAGTCCATAACTTGTAAATTATTTAGTTTATTGTAGATTTAATTATTGTGTTCTATAATTCTTTAATTACCATTTTGGTATCTTTGTAAATGAAAAAAGAACTGAGAGTTAACTATATTTGCATTCAGACAAAAATCAATGCTGAATTTACTTTCTGAAAATGCCATACTTCTTTCTAATTATTTTATTAACTTTGGTTTTGTTAATTAGACATTAAAGTACTTAGCATAGGGGTCGTTTACCAAACGCTTACCTACCAGGTCACATTACCTTACCGGATGAATATGGGAAGGACCAAGAATCTTACCCGGTAAGAGCGATGCAAGGACCAAAGTCTTACCCGGTAAGCGAGGGCGACAACTCTTACCAGGGTTAGTGCTTACCCTGGTAAATTGTGCCATCGTAAATTGTTGCATACGATGCCGTTTTTGTTGACTAAAATCTTACTCGATAAGTAAATGATAGTGTTGAATTTTACTGATAAGCGCTAAACGGTAAGTGATTGGTAAACGGTCCCTTAATGTTGTTCTGTTTTCTTATCCATAAAAACCCAATGTCAAGTTGGCCCAAGCTCAAGAAATGGAATTGGGATACAAGTAGAAAGAAGATGAAGCACATCTACCTTGAAAAACTCACCAGTTGCTGCTGCAACTACATAGAGAAGAAAGTTGACTTCACTGTTGTGTGTTTTTTCTCTAAAGAGCCGTCTTCTAAAATTCCATAATCCCATCACCCGTTTTATCAAGAGATCCCCCCCCCCCCCAAAAACACATGCAACTTACAATTAACTGTAATGTTCCTAGATCCCCTTTTAGTATTTGGAAGTAAGGCAAAATCATATTTCAGCTAAAGCTGTACAAAAATATATGATTCATGTTCATTTCCTTGAAAAATTAAATATCCCTACAAAAAGTTCAAAATACACATTACCATACATGTAAAACATCACTTTTAACTTTTGAGAAAACAAGGAATATGATGCTGCTCAACCAATGCAATTACCTTTTGGAGGCTCGTTTAATAATCGAGACGGCTGATTATCCTGATTGGGATTGACAACATGTGAACCTTTGTTGGTTGACACTGAAAGAGGCTGCAAAACATCTGACATCTGATTCTTTTCAACTACATTGGATTGTGGCTGACTTGTGCTGTCAGAATCTACAGCTTCTGCGACACCAGCAACTACTTGATCAACACTGGACTTGATCCCAGCTGGGAGTTTGGCATTTGATTTACTAGAGCCACTACGTTTTGTAATCTCGCATTTTATGGTACCCACTGCACAAGTGTGATGGGTGTTCTCATATGGAATCACAACAGGATCTGAAGTAGAGGATGAGACATCTGACAGCAACGAAGTAGGTAATCAGAGAAAGTTCAGTAGCGAACTTATGCAATGTATTATCATCAATGGTTGGTGATTTGTTCACAATTAACCGGTTAACAACCTGGTAGTTAAGTATTGACATTACCTGGAGACAGTTCTGGTGCAAGTTTATTAATGTAACTCCCATTGGATATAGGCACTGTACCGTTAGCATTGGCAGCAGAACTGTAAAGAGTACGAACAAATTCAAATGTGAACGTATTAGCCTACTTAAAGATTTTGGCAAAATCGGAAATCTGATGCATGTTTTCAAGGAAAGGGGAGCAGATCACAGGTGGTCAGGAGCACTAAACAGAGATTGTGCATGATGAGATTACATAAAAACCAATAGGTGGAATGAAATTTACTTCGCCACAAGTGCTCCATTGTTTTCTTTTCCGGAATGAACTGACGGTGTCACCCCTGAAACCCTCTCTGGGGGATTAGCAACACCATTATCCTTCCCTGAACTCAAAGTCCTTCCACCTCCAACATCTGAAATGACAAGAAAAAAGATTAAACTCCAGAGTGCCAGTGCTAACCGATATTACCCCTCCCCATAGATCAGATAACCAACAATGAACATAATGTCAATAACCCAGATTTCACTTTTTTAGTTACCTGCTTTGTATAACATGGTCAGTGTGCACATATCTAGTACTGATTAATATAAATATAAGCAAAATAATATTGACAAGAAAAAAAGAACAGATTTTAGAAGTTACAATGAGCCAGTACCTGCTCTCAACTACAAAAGATCACATCACTTCTATTGCAATATCTTTCTTATGTTTTTCTGTGACGAAAAAGGTCAACAAAACATCTGAGCTGATAAATATTACAATTTACAACTGTACAAGAACATTTCATTTGTACTAGGATTGACCATACTATCAATTAGCCTGTTCAGTATATTTCTTTGTTCGAAGTCACAACTTAAGTTTCATTGATTTGTATCCATTAGAGATATGCCTACAGAGGAAGAAACCGGTACATGGGTAAGAAGTTTTCATGTGTTGCAAAGAATCTCAGCATGACACGCATAGATATGAATAAAAATCTTGGAATATGAACAGAAATAATTCATCGTTGTTTAGATAGAAGATGGCCAATAATTGTTTTTAATTACTCCATGCCTAACTATTGTGTGTATCAACTATCGTATGTATATATGCAGGTAAAATAGAAACATCATGGTATACGAATTCGTTAACAATGATAATAAAAAATGCATGTGAGTCTCCAGAACAGCCCTGGCATTATGGCTCTGAAAGACCAACAGACATGGTCTATAACAACAGAAAAGTGAATACTAGATCTGGGTAGCTAATACAATAATGTAGATATTCCAGGCTAGGATTCTAAGCATACCATCAAAAACTTTCGATGAGTAGAAAGTCCCTCTCCCACCCTTAGCTCCCTGCCACTGATTACCCCGTGTCCGTTTATGCTCTTCAGATGTATCACTGCTTATCTGAATAAAATTAGAGAAACAACTGATGAATTGTCATGCCATCAACAGACCTCCAAAGCTTTCCCGTTTCCAATCCCAATTACTTAAAAAGTAAATTGACCACCATTGTTATTCTTCCAAGCCCACCAGGTAATATCAAATTTCAATGTCTCTTGGTTTGAGTTGCTAAAAGAACCAATTTGCAAAATGCAATAGAAAGATTTGAAGACTTCCTCTCCACATCCCAAAGCCAAATAAGCCTCGATGCTAGAGATCACTCATGTTTATTTAAAAAAATGAGAAGTAAACATCAACTGATTGGCATCACAAGGCAGCCTTTTCTTTGTGACAACCACACCAGAAAACCAAATATTCATGTCAAAAACTGAACAGGGTTAAAGGGGCCACGAAAAGGAAGCTCAATTGTGTAACTTACAGGTTTTCGCCTATCATGTTTCTTTTTAACCTCGTGAAAAGTATCTGCAAATGCAAACACAAGAGCAATTACTTCCTGCAAAACAATCTGAACAAGAGTCCCACAACCAATAACATCAAAAGTACTGCATGTTATAAGAATTTAAGCAAGTTATGAAGAGGTAAACTAGTAAATCATCAAAATGATTGAAAATGCAAATATGATGACATACATCTAAGCAGCCCAATCAACAAAGTGGTGTTACTCTGCCGTTAATGCTGGAAAGGGTTTCTAGAACAGTTACAGAAAAATTATGACCGTGTAAGTAGAATACTGAATAATTTACCATATTCCCCCCTAATCCACAAGCACAAAGGCACAATTACTTCATACATGCAACGGAGACCATTGATAAGGAATGCTACTGATATATATATATATATACACACACACACACACATATATATATAGCAACATTGCACAAAATAATCATAAAACGATGATATGTAATATTGATAGATCCAAAAAAACTTCTCATCAAAAAAGAAGCCGTGATTCAGCTGCATAAGTTGAAACAAAGAATACAACGACTACATCAAAATTAAACCCTATATCTTACTTTAAAAACGAGTACTACTATCAATATAACTTCACTTTGATCACAGACATGCAATCATCTAACAAAAACAAAGATAAAACAGTGTATTAGGGTTTTTCACCGATATATAAAAGCCTCTGAGCAGCTTCGTTAGGATCCATGTTACAGTCCTTAAGCATTATATACACATCCTCTACGCTATGCTTTCCAGCGATCTCTCTGATATCATGGATCATCTTCAACCTCCAGCCAGCTTCATTAGGATCCATATCACAGTCATTGAGTGTTGCGTGGATGAACTCGTCGCTGTGCTTAAATCCTAGAGTCTTCTTGATTTCTTGAATTACCTTCCGATGGTGGGTCGGAATCGAAACCCTAGCATCGGCGGCGCCTCCGTTCATGGTTGTTTTGGCCGCCATGGAGGCGCTCGTAAGAGAGAGAGAAGGCAATGGGTGAGTGAGAGGGTAATGATATTGGGACAGAAAGGCGGTTTGGCAGAATCAAAACTGCCTCCATGTAAATATATTCATCAAATTCACGAAATATTTATCACACCAAATCACGCTTCCAATCTTTCCCAAATTACAAAATAATATCAATTATATAAACGTTTCATTGGTTTTGAACGTAAAATCTGAATTTGAACGGGTGGTGTTTGATTTATAAGATGTGCTGAAGTTTGAAGTCTGATTTTATTTCTAATTTTAAAATATGGTGCTGAAGTCTGAAATCTGAATCAATCAGACTGTTTGTTTTTACATCTGAAGTTTGAAATCTGAATCAGTCATACTGGTTATAGCAATGTTCTGTTTCAACATGGATTTGTATTTCTTTCTTTCAAAGTTTTAGTCAAATAACAAAACAAAAATCAGAGTTTTCTAATGGCGGGTTGAGTTGAAATTTGTTGTATTATAGAATCTGAATTTAATCCGTCAATTACAATTTTATCATGAGATTCGTAGAAGAGGGGATTGGGATATCAGCAGGAGATGGTGATCTTCTTCGTCGCCTTCGGATTTTGACTATGTATTGTGTTGGTCGTGAGGAGAATCGTGGATCATTGTAAGTTGGGTTACTGGCGAGAAAGAGTCGATTTAAGTGGTATTAAGTGATAGGTTTATCACTTAAAAATTCAAATGAATGAAACATCATTTAAGCTCTTATTTTAAAAAGAAAACCAAACGGTCTAAAAATATAAATGTCTAAATGATTCAGAGGAAATTTCAAAAAAAAAAACAAACAGGGCTAAAGTGTTTGTGTCCTAGGAATAACGGGTTGCTAATCGGGCTTAAGCAACCAATCATGTTTCGGATCACAAAGCCCGTTACAAGGTTCATCTCACGTCGCATAAAATGGCGTTTGACGAAAAGGGACGTCCATAAACCCACACGTTACCATTGGTTAGGTATATTGAAAACTCACATCTCTATGTTGGAAGCGGGCTTATATATGTCCGGAAGGGCTCACGCAAAGTTTCATGTAAATCCGACTCCATACGTTCGGTTTACGGTCGTACAGCCCCTCCAAAGACGTTCGCAGGCTGGTGCCCGGAGCGCGCAGGTGCCAAGGCACGTCGTGATAGCACGTGTTGCAATGGATCCTCGTTAAGGAATTTAGATTGTAATCATTCCAATTACCAGACTTGTTTGAGCCCTATATTGTTATTTATTGTTACCACCCCCTGTATCTATCTTATGAACAAAAGGCAAAGTGACAGTGTTTGTATAAAATTTGAGTGTCTTGAAATTTGAAATGCAAAACCCAACTTTTCTGGTTGTACTGGTTTGGACTATGTTTGATTTTTGACCACTCGATCCGTTTAAAAACCCGATATATAATTTAAATATCATACTTATTTACACTTGGGATCGTGTGATACCAGTCTATTTTCATGAGACCCGTGAGTTTACAAAAGAAAAAACATTGAACTTTCATAGCAAATCATTGTGTTTTTTGTTGTGAAGATCTGGTGTTTTTTGTACCTTCACAATGTTTTGCTGTGAATGTTTAGTGTTATTGTATGGTCTTACGTGACCTCAACCCTGTTTATTTATCTAATTATCTCCAGTAAATCCTTAATCTTAATCCGTTTGTCGGTCGTACTTTTTTATTTCTAAATCTACTATCGATCCCATCATTCTTCTCAATTGATTAAATTCGACTTTTTATTTGTTTTAAAATAAATACTTGTTTTTCTAATTATGTGAAGTTTCTTTATATTAAAAATGAACAACGACATCAACAGTAAAAAAATTTGCAAAAAAAATATCACACATCAATAACAATAAATAATTTACAAAATAAACCATAAAAATTGTGGCTTACATTTGATTAGACATTCGACTGTATAATTTGCAATATGATGGAGGATTCGGTAAAACAAAAGAAAAAAAACGTTAAATGAGATATGATATATAGATAGGATAAAAACGAAATAAAAAACCAAAAAGTCTACGACATTTATGACTTAACGAAAGACAATTAATATAATCAACAAAAATATTTTAAAAAATCTAAAAATTTGAGAAAAAAAAAAGAAATAACTCTTTCACGAAGTGAAAATATGGGGAAAAAATAATATATATATATATATATATATATATATATATATAAGCGATCAAATGAAAACCACTCTAATTTGTAAAAACCGTAAAAACTACTTTCATCCGTCGTTAATCTTATGAAATTTTTTCATGAAATTGTTAATCTTATGAAATTGTTTCATATATACTTTTTTTGATGAAGTTGTTTCATATGTGGTTATGAAATTGTTTCATATACTACTTAATGAAATTTTAATGAAATTGTTTCATGTATTTATCTAAAATTAAAATAATGAAAATGATAATATCCATGATTAACACCCTCCACAATAAAAATGGATAATCAATCTCTCATAATAAAAAAATGAACAAAATGAAAAATTATGATTGGTTGAATGAAGTTTTCACGGTTTTTACAAATTGAGTGGTTTTTATTTGAACACACCCCTATATAGAGAGGAGCGATCAAATGAAAATCACTCCAATTTGTAAAAACCGTAAAAACTTCCCTATATATAGGGGAGCGTTCAAATAAAAACCACTCAATTTGTAAAAACCGTAAAAAACTCATTCATCCAATCATAATTTTTCATTTTGTTCATTTTTTTGTAATTATGAGAGGTTGATTAACCATTTTTATTGTATAGGGTGTTAATCATGGATATTATCATATTCATTATTTTAAATTTAGAGAAATACATGAAACAGTTTTATTAAAATTTCATTAAGTAGTATATGAAACAATTTTATAACCATATATGAAACAAATTCATCAAAAAAGTATTATATGAAACAATTTCACAAGATTAACAATTTCATGAAAAAATTTCATAAGATTAATGACGGATGAAAGTAGTTTTACGGTTTTTACAAATTGGAGTGATTTTCATTTGATCGTTCATATATATATATATATATATATATATATAATGTCTCTATAATTTAGGTAGATTGAAAGTTAAAGCTAATTAAATTTAAAGTGAAATTACCAAATCAGTCTTCTTTATAGAGAAATACATGTTTTTCATTTAAGGGTATAATAGTCTTTAACTTATTTAATATGTTAAAAACTTAAAATAATGGGAAATTTTCTTTAGACAAATACTACTCTAAGAATGTGACACATCATTCTTTGTATGTTTTGCTTTTATACAGGTATATAGAAATGTAATAATCATACATTCATATAAATGTGCGTTTTTTTATCGTAGACATTTATTTTCAGAACTGTAAAAATAAACATTTAGTGTCATAGAATTAGTCGAGATGCATGTAAGTTGATTCAGATATTATGGTTTATCCATATTATTATTTTAAAATGTTTGTTGTAAAATATTTTATTACTTGGAATATTTGTACAATGCAATAGCAACACGATCCAACCTTAATTTTGAAGTTGAAAATTCGAACATCCAATCATGTTTCGCTTCATTCTCCATCACTCTGTTTTATTATATGGTTTATGTGGGGGCGTGTATTTACAAACGATATATATGTGTGCGTGTGTGTGTATGTAAAGGTTCGCGATGTAGGTGGAGGTTCAAACAAGAACCTATGTGATTTACGAGAATGTGATAACAACCTCTAAGCCAATGATTGTGCTCAAAATCACATCTTAAGAAAAGTTAAAGTATTTTTTAGACTTAAATAAATAGTAAAACACTTTCGAATATTCTGAAAACGTGGAGGGTAAAATTGGAAATTGATATCCTAAATTTCAAATAACACGATGTATAGTATTCCGATCATTTGTGTGATGATAATCATCATCGTCGACCTTAGGTTATCACAAATAGCACAAAGATAGCTTACATTCATGTTCGAAGGTGAAACTGAAAGCAAGGAAGAAACTGAGTTAGGGCAAGCGTATACTTTTGTTCGAAGGCGTTGAGGATGAAGATCATACAATATATTTCGAAGGTGTCGAGGAAGAAGATCAAAGGTATGTATCTGATAACAATGACCACTGATAAACGATGGGGAAGATTCTTACCCGATAAACACATACCAGATAAAAAGCTCCTACTGAATAAGTGTTTACCAGTGCCACTTACCTTATCGGGTAAGCATGACAAAAGTTGAGAACCTACCCCGTAAGAAACATAACAACAACGAATAATCTTATGGTCCGTTTACTAAACGCTTACCGGTAGGTGCTTATCGGACATTTTTTCTTACCGAATGAACATGGCAAGGGTCAAAAACGTTTCCCTGTAAGAGCAATGATAAATATGAAGAATTTTACTCGGTATGTGAGGGTGATGACTCTTATATGGGTAAGTGCTTACAGGGTAAATTGTTGCGTATGATACCATTTTGATGTACTACAGTCTTATCGGGTAAAATAAATTATAATGTTGACTCCTAACAATAAGCGCTTATTGGGTAAGCATTTAGGTAGACGACCCCTTATTTGGTAACTGTTGAAGAAGACTCCTATCCGATAAACGTATATCGGATACAAAAATCTTATCAACATTCTAATTCGTTGCCCGAAAATGTTTCGAATAAAGTAATGGGCCGTTTACCAAACACTTATTCAGATAAGTTTTTACAAAGTCACATTACCTTACCAGATGAATATGACAAGAACAAAAAATATTACCTGGTAAGAGTGAAGGCAAAGATCGAGTGCATTATCCGATAAGTGAGGGTGACGACTCTTATTATGGTTAGCGCTTACCGGGTAAATTGTTGCATACGATATCGTTTTGATGGACTAAAATCTTACCAAATAAGTAAATGATAGTGTTGAATTTTACCGATAAATACTTAGGGGTTTTTGTTTACCTCCTAATAGTTCCATTAAGAGGCAGCATCTGAATCGTAAAGAGGTGAATATTGTTTGACAAAAAAATTTGTCTCTTAATGGATTAAAAACCCTCTGAGTGATTTTGTATCATGAGTCTCCCTTAAGGATGATAATTTGCCCCAACCCGGTGGGGAACCCGACTCAACCGACCTCGAACGGGGATCCTCGGCAGACTCAAACCAAGAGATGTTTTTCATGGGGTTTGACCGGGAACGAGATGTTAATCCCCGTACCCGCTAGGGACCGGGGCCGGGAGCTATTACTAAAAACCAGGGTCCAGGATTACAAAACCCGCCCCATCCCCGTCCTGTTGCCATGTCTAGTCTCCTTTAACCATTAAGCGCCATAATTTCATTGTAAACAATTACCAAATAATTGTATTTTATTTTACATTATATCATCTGAGTCTTTTAATCATTTTGACCACTTAATCATTATATATTAAATATCCAACAACCGTCAAACAACCTTATACAAATAAACATTTAGTAAACGACTCGTAAGCAAGGTTGATAACTCCTACGGTAATTACCGACATTGGTATGGTAATCCATCCAAAAATATTTTTGTAATTTAGTCGGAAATTAATTATTGATTAATCGGCGGCTGTTTAGGCGCATGGCCCAAAACGAATGGGCCGGACGTCGAGATGTCGGCATATCCGCAAGGATCATCGGCTGAAGATTCCATCTAGTCGTCATCGGATCTCTCTCCCCACTACTTCTGGAAACTGCGTGTTGAATCAGGCGACTACCGGAGCCAAAACCCTACCGGAGTGATGAGCAACGGCGGCGAGTTGAGATACGTGATCGGTCAAAATGCTTACATCAAGCTCATACTCCATGCCTTGAAGCACAAAACCTCCTCCGTTAACGGCGTCCTCCTGGGCCGTCTCTCAGGCGATGTAGTGGAAATCACCGAGTCGGTTCCTCTTTTCCACTGTTCTCAGATCGGACTCCTACCTCCTCTTGAGATCGCTTTAATTATGGTATCTGCCTCAATTCGCCTCTCGTAGTTCGTTCCTTCTGATTTTAGGTTTCATCTTCAGCTTTTTAAATGTTTTTCTTTGAATCGTTCAATTGTGTAATAGATAGAAGAGTATTACAGTTCACAGGGATTGAGTATTGTGGGCTATTTCCACGCCAACGAGCGATTCGATGATCTCGAGCTCGGTACCGTTGCTAAGAATATTGCCGATCACATTTATCGTTATTTCCCTCAAACCGCGGTGCTCTTGGTACGTGTTCTCGATCACCAAATTAGCAGTATAATAAGTTGATTTCTGCCACTCAGTTCGTTAATAAGCATAGATTTCGGGCCTCAGCAAGGGACACAAGTAAATTCAGCTTTTACTGCACAGAAATAAACTTGAATCAATTTCAAATTGCACCATCTATTTCTTCAGGAAATGCTACATATGGAATTTGGACTTAAAACCTGTTATATATAAGTTCGAAATTGGTATTGATTTTAAGCTTGCACGGAAAAGAATGTTAAAAGTAGTATGTGACGGAATCTTCAGGAGTTCGGCATCTAAGAGGTATAAATTTTGGTGTAGAAGTTGATGCGTTGCTCTTTTTCCACCTAGTGCAGGTAGCAACTAAAAGATGTAATTGCTCCTGCAGCTCCTTAGTGCTCTTAGCAAAAGTAGCGACTTCAGATCGTCAAAGGACATGGTCCCCTATACAATTCACAACTCACTATACAACTTGTAAAAGTAGACCCTAACTGTGGACTGGGGAGAGTGTTCTATCAAATATATTTGAAAGATCGATCGAGTTGAATACAAAACTTGGAAGGAGGTTTTCCGTGCACCAGACCCTGGGGGGTGGGGGTTTTACCCTGTAACAATGCTAAATATCTTTACTCTGATAAATTAGCTTGTAAGAATAGCCTTTTGTCTTTTCTCTAATATTTTACATTGTTGCAGCTAGATAACAAAAAACTTGGAGCTTTGAGAAACAAGAAGGATACGGCTCCTGTAATGCAGGTATGATCAACTAGAATGGTTGGTTGTTACAATTGAATTTTACTTTCCTTGATGACTGAGGATAAGTTTCTGATAAGAAACTGATGCTACTTCTGTTCCGGAAAAGATAAATTCATGTTTGACCTACATTTCCAGCAGGCTATTTCTTGGATTGATGGCCAATATACTTTTCTTCAGTTTGGAAAAAAAACCGACATATAGTAAACCATATAAAACTGCTCTTATTTAAAACATTTACGCTAATGGTAAAGTAACTTGGTTTGTTCAAGTGACTCCACAGATAGGATTCATATGCAACCTGCCTGTTGTAAAAACCCAAACCAAACTGATCAAGTATATCCTACTCGAAAGTAGGGTTTCGAAATGTAGGATGTACATAAACCTTTCCTCTAGCCCGAGGATGGAGAGATTATTTCTGTGGGGACCTTGGCTTGCGGAAAAATGTGGTGAGATAAGAGCTAAACAGGAAGCTGTTATTTTTTTGGGGGGGTTTTGGCAGCTTTGAAAAGAAATTGAAGCCCATGGGATATAGGCAAAAAATAAAAGAACAAAAGTGTGTCTGAGCACAAGAATAGTAAATAGTAACAACTTCAGTCAACAGTGGCAATAATAAGAGCCTATGTGATTGAAATGATTAAAACCAATAAGGGCGCGTTGCGGGTAAAGCATGAAAAAGACTATGCCACAAAAAAGTACTCGGACCAGATCCTCTTCATCCAACCACACCAGGGTATTTTCATTTTATATGTTGGCTCTCTACCACCCTGCCCCCTACAGTAGCAACTAGTCCCAAAAAAAATCTGCTACCTTAATCTTCTGTCACCAAGAACTCTTATCCAAGGTCATGTTCTTATTATGGTCCAAGCCCGCCATGTCTAGCTTCAGTTGCTTATCAATGTTCTCCTCAACCTGCCCCTCCTCGTGCTGTCAACCGTTATGCTTTTCACTCTCCTCACTGACATTCATCCGTGATAGGCTCAACTCATAGTTCTGCCCTTAAAAATCTGTTTGGTATCCTGTTCCACATGTCCATCTCAATGTCGTTGTCTTTGCAACTTCCAGCTCCCTCTCATGCGCCATCTTTATTGCACAGCACTAAACACATACAACAGGGTTGGTCTGATGCCCACTTTGTAGAATTTGCCCTTCAGTGTTGTACTTTTATTGGCCAACATCCTAGTATTCTGCCCGACATGTCCATCTCAACATCCTCATTGCTGCAACTTCCAACTTCCTTTCATGCGCCATCTTTATCGGTAACACTCACACTCATAAATTATGACTGGTTTAGCCATCATGTGGAATTTGCCCTTCAGTTTTAACAAGAATTTGTCACATAGCACTCCTGCAACTCTCCACTTTAATCATCTTGCCTTTATGCGGTGCATAACATCGTTCTCGACATATCCCTCCTAAATCATGGAGCCTAAATACCTAGGCTCTCCATTTGAGTTACCTCTGTTCCTCAATATTGGATTCCAACCCCTCGTCGTCACGCAACCTGCCTAAACTGTTTTGTGTGACTACCACATAACCATACGATGTTGTGCAAGTTTTATCCTTTTTTTAGAAGACATTTATACAGCTTTTCTTATTGAAATATACTAAAATGTTCATAACATTGATCCTTCATTTTTCTCCTAGATTTATGTTATCATTTTTCCTATTTGATTAACCTGGGTAGGTTCAATTACTGGATTCATAAGGGTACACGAGGCATTGGCTGTTCTTTTAGATTTTCATTCTTCATTTGAGATCTGTAGTTAGAAATTGGAATCAATCTGCCTAGTTTGTGTGGCTAGCATGGCTTAAGGTACACATGTATCATGCTGTAAAGATATTTCATGCAGTTGTCTTAAAGCAACTGAAGATCCCAAAAAGGTTACATAGTTATGTTGCCAAGTAATGTGTCCTATAACTAGATGATTTTATTGTCCCGGAGGATACAGTTAGGTGATAAGCCAATTCTGTCACACTGCATACCAGTTGAAATCGACAACTAATGTGGAATTTAGCTTGCTTGATGTTTCTGGACTGTTAATCGTATATGATCACAAGCAGGGTGGACCTATTAAGAGGGGAGCCGTGCACCGCTCACTCGATTATTGCAAGGGAGAAAAAAATTGGTGTCTGAGAAGTGCACCTGCTTGATTTTGAGGGGTTCCCTTCAATACTTTGAAACCAAATTTATAACAGAAATTAAACATGGGTGGCATGGTTGGATTAGTACTCTACATGTAAGAGGTCACTGGTTCGAATCTTACATTGAGTAAAAGTTTAGTTTTTTTTTTAATCTTAATTTTAGGCTGTAAGGCTGGCCCAGAGCATTGAGTTAGGTCCTACAATGCTATTTTTGAAAAAGGTTACAAGAATCGAACTCACAACCTCAGGTACAATTATAGACATTATTACCACTATGCCAAGAAAACTTTTTATTAATTTTTCTCCCATTTTGATGTTATTATTTTTTCATGATTTATTTTCGTTCTGAACATCAATTCATGTTCATCTTAAAGATCATCGTCATCTCATTCTCAAAGACAACATATATTTATTTTAAAGATCAAGATCGATTCCATTTGAAAATATTCCCCAAATCGACACAATTGACTCTTCTCTGGTCAAAACAGCGCCAACTCCCCCCCCCCCCCCCCAAAAAAAGGTCAAACCGTGATTTTACATTTTTATGGACCAACCTTAAAGGTGCATCCACTCAGAGAAATTCCTGGGTTCCAATGGTTTATTGTTTTTGACCACCAACTATCTTTTTAAAATGATCACAAAAAATATTAAAACTGAAAAGGACGCATATAAAGATAGTATGTACAACTACACCAACCTACAAAGTGATTGCAACAACCACCCTGAAAAGCAACCCCCTAAATGACCGTAAACCTGATGCAATAAACTGAACCCTACTACAGTCACCAACTAAATTAAGCAAAGGTCGTTCTTGGTATCTTTGTTGTGGTGAGGCTTCTTTGGGACATTGAACGGTAGCAGCTATGCCATTATGTCATGGCATCAAAATTACTTGTTTTCAATTCGCATTTCTTGTTCTTTTATTTGTGAGATTCATTATTACCAGATACCATTGGGGGGTGTTTACTTTTCCCTTTTCCCATTAAGCCCTATTTGTGTTTAGTTGTTTGTTCAGATTAATTTGTTTGTCTAAGGGACGGGAGACCAATGGGTTTGAGGGAGGCAGGGAGAGAGGGATGGACTATTTTTGGGGCATTTCTGGTATTAATTTGTTTGAGGTGTCTTAATGGGGACAAGTGAGGGGTCCTGGCTTATTCCATATAGCCATTTTGGCTTAGGGCCTTCCTACTTTTTTTTCCCTTTCCATGAAGCCCTTTATGAGCTAAGTTGTTGTCTGCCTGGATAAATTTGTCTTGTCAGTCTGGTGATGAGAGACTTATGGTTTTGAGGAGGCAAAGAGAGAGGGTTGGATTATTTTTGGGGCATCTTTGGTATTATTTTGTTTGGCTTGATGGCTTAACGATTAAGCTGTAAAGGAACACTCCTGTATGGCTGAGCGATTAAGCCGTTCATATCATTAAGCTCATTAAGCTTTGGAGGTTGAAATAAACCCAAACCTTCTCATTCCCAAATCCAAAAAGGGTTGAACTGAAATTTTATTTTTAGGTGGTCATGCTTCTAATCAGAAAATGGTCATTTATCAAAAGGACCCATATTTGCACCTACTTGTCGTAAGCCATGATCTTTATATCTGAATAATTGCACTACATTGTTCTTACGTAAAAATTTCCGGTCTTTTTCCTTGTCAGCTCTATACACGAGACTCCTCTAGAAGTTGGAACGTAGCCAATCGGATTACCACCAAGGAGCCATCTGCCAATATCCTCCTCTTGGATTTCACTTCATCCGAGAAATGGAACGATATCGTAGACTTCGATGACCATCTTGATGACATAAGCAAGTACGTGTCGTGCCCTCCTTTCCTTCGGAATCATGAATTCAATAGTCTGTCGCATCGAAAACGGAAATTAATGCACGACTTTCGTTGTTTTCTTTGGCAGGGATTGGCTGAACTCCGAACTCTTCAAGTAATGTTTCAGTTTTGGCTGCAAAGATAGACCAAGATCCCTTCCTTTTTTTCCATCTCATGTAACCTGTGTGTTTATTTTTTTTTGGTTTATCAAAGTTTTTGACTCAAAATGAGGATTATTATTAACTTTTAATGGCTGTAGTTGGAAAGCACTGCATTATTATGTCTTAAAAGAAAGATTGACTTGACTGCTTTTATGTTCTGTTATCATTTACTTTACTTAGGGGCCGTTTAAGAATCAGTTACAGGTAAAAGTCACCACTCTTACAGTCTCACTTACCTTATCAGGTAAGATTCTCGAACAAAAGGGATTTTTGGTAAGCATCTCAGGTCCTATAAGTGCTAACTAGGTAAACTCTCCACCCTCGTTTATTGGATAAAAGTCTTCACCCTTATTTCATTTAGCAGGTAAAATTTTCGATCTTTGGCATGTCTCTTATCGGGTAAGATTCTTCGGTTCTTAACATTTTTCTTATCAGGTAAGAAGATATGTCTCATTTGGAAGTAGGTTTTGAGGGGTAAGATATATGCATATAGTTCCTTTATTACGAGGAAAGATGATATGAGAATGTCCGGTTTACGAAAAAAATTCGGGGCGTATTTATCGATTGAAACGACTAATTGTAGTTATTTTACAATCGACCATATTTTACAAGTTAATTGTCCGACTGGTAATCATCGTGTTTTCATATGAACACTATAAACCACGACAAACAGATCCTGTAAATTTCAAACAAAGTAAGGATACGGAAAGGGTAAGATGTGCAGTTGTACGAGTACATTTTCTTTTACCTTAAACTAGAAGGATACTCGCACAATGCAGTGAGATATGTCTTGATTTTAATGTTTCATTTTATTTATTTTTACTGCCGATATAATACGGTGTTACATGGTTTACAAAAACGGTAATGTTTTTATTTTTGAACGAAATATAAATTTGAAAACAGTTGTATTGATATTAATATTAAATTAACTATTTAAGAGTTTTTGTTTTCTGTGTAATTTCTTTAATTCGGTTTTTAATTATGTTTAATAACAAAGTAGTTTATTTTTGTTTAATAATATAATTTTTAATAAGAATGATAATTAAATATTCTGTTAAATCTCAATGATTATCCTAATTATATTTTAATTATTTATATTTAAAAGGAGGTGTTTATCATGTATGGATTGTGAAGATTTTTTCCATATATCGAATGTGCATGTTTTTTAATTGGAAGGAGCATGGTTGGAGAAAACGTAACTTTCTGCATAAAGTTTTTTCTTAGAAGCTTATTGAACAAGTAAATAAAGTAGATGATTGACTGGTTCCATACTAGAAATAATCGCATAAAATCCTTTGACTGACTAATCCTTAGACAAAGGGTCGAGAAACTCAACGACACTGTTCTTGAAGAACTTGGGGCCGGACCTTCTCTTCGTTTTCGCACTTCTGTATTATTGAGTTACCATCAAACAACTATGTATGGCTAACAAGATAAATTGTGATTCTCATCAAAGCTCATTAAGCTGCTAACAAAATGCCACTAAACCTGGGCTCACACATTTATCATACCAAATTACAACCCTAATTACTATTTAAGGGTGAACACACGTGTCCCATGTTTGTTCAATTTAGTTCCATTTTGTCCCGCATAAGAACAAAACAAACATGAAACAAGTGTCATGTCATGTTCTACACTGTTTTACGTACCAAACACACCCATTTGCAATTACTAGAAGGGTACTCGCACAATGTAGCAATACATCTCAATTTTAATGTTTCGTTTTTTCTTTGTCTCAGTCGATGTTATAATATGGTTTTATGTGGTTTTGAGAAAACGTAATGCTTTCATTTTTAAATAAAATATAAATATGAATATATGATAAAAAAAAATGAAAAAAATATTGATATTAATACCACACTAACTATTTAAAATATCTCCTTTTTTGCGTCTTTCTTTAATAATTTTTGGTTTAATAATATAAATTTTTTTATAGAGATAATAATTAGGTATTTTGTTAGAAGTTAATAACTATCCTAATTATATTTTAGATTTTTTATATTCAAAATGAGATGTTTATTCTTTATTTAATTATGTTTATCTGCAGTTAGTTACATGAAGCTTTAATAAGTTGTACTTACACATAAATTACTTGTAACCTTTAATTTTAAGTAATATGCATCAATAAATAGTACTTAATGCATGAAAAATGATTTTTAAGAATTTTTATCAAATGCTTTATAATATAACTAGAAGCGTACTCRCGCAATGCAGCGAGATACATCGTGATTTTAATATTTCGTTTTATTCTTTATCTCAGTCGATGTTATAATATGACTTTATATGATCTTGAGAAAGCGATGATGTTTTTATTTTTGAATAAAATATATGTTTGAAGATATCATAAAAAATTGACAAAAATATATCGATATTAGTATCAAATTAACTATTTGAAATTCCTTATTTTTGTGTAATTTTTTAATTCAATATTTTTATAATTTAATTTATTTACAATAACGAAGTAATTTATATTTGGTTTAATAATATAATTTTTTATAAAGATAATAATTATTTATTTTGTTGGAACTCGATAATTATTCTAATTATATTTTARATTTTTTRTATTTTAAAATGAGATGTTCATYCTYTATTTGATTATGTTTATYCGCAGTTATTTATACGAATTCAAATATCGAACTTTAATAAGTTGTACTTATGCATAATTACTTGTAGTCTTGAATTTTAAGTAATATGCATCAATATACAATACTTTATGCATAACAAAAATATATCGATATTCGAATCAAATTAACTATTTAAAATTCCTCATTTTTTGTGTAATTTCTTAATTCAAAATTTTATTATAATTTAATTTAGGTACAATAACAAAGTAATTTATATTTGGTTTAATAATATAATTTTCTTATAAAGATAATAATTAATTATTTTGTTAGAACTCGATGATTATCCTAATTATATTTTAGATTTTTTATATTTGAAAATAATATGTTTATTCTCTATTTGAGTATATTTATCCGCAATTAGTTATACGAATTCAAAAATCGAGCTTTGATAAGTTGTACTTTTACATAATTTATTTGTAATATTTAATTTTAAGTAAACATTGGTTTTATTATCTGCAGTTAGTTATACGAATTCAGATATGGGATGAAATCGGATAGGGATGAAATCGTTTAGGGATGAATGAGTTTATTAGTTTTTAAGAGTTTTAGCCAAATGCTTTATAAGGTAGTATAGATAATATTCTTACGATTTAGTGAAGTAATTTATTTTTGGTTTAACAATAAAATTTTATAAAGATAATGATTCTGTTAAAAACTCAATGATTATCCTAATAATATTTTAGATTTTTATATTTAAAATGAGATGTTTATCATGTATTTGATTATGTTTATCTGCAATTAGTTATACAAATTCAAACATGAAGCTTTAATAAGTTGTACTTAAACACAATTTACTTGTAATCYTAAATTTTAAGTAATATGCATTAATACACAGTATTTTATGCATAATAAATGGTTTTTAAGAGTTTTTGTCAAATGCTTTATAATATAGTATAGATATTGATTATATAATTTAGATGTAAATTTCGTAATGATGATGAATAAGTATACAAAGTTGTATAAATTTATCTATAAATTCTATACTATAATTTTAACAAATTCAGACATTTATCAATTTATAAAAACAAACAGTCTAATTGATTTTACTTTCAAGCTTCGACAATATCTCTATACTATATTTGATTATGTTTATCTGCAATTAGTTACACGAATTCAGATATGGAGCTTTAATAAGTTGTATTTACGCACGATCTACCTGTAATCTTGAGTTTTAAGTAATATGCATTAATAAACAGTACTTTACCCATAAAAAGTACTTTTTAAGAGTTTTTTTGTCAAATGCTTTATAATATAGTATAATTTTTTTTATAATTTAATTTAAGTTTAATAATGAAATAATTTATTTTTTGTTTAATAATATAACATTTATAAAGATAATAATTAAGTATTCTGTTAGAACTCAAATGATTATCCTAATTATATTTTAGATTTTTTATATTTAAAATGAGATGTTTATCATGTATTTGATTGTGTTTATATGTAGTTACATGAATTCAGATATGAGATAAAATCGGATAGAGATAAAATCGTTTAAGGATAAACGAGTTTAAGAATTTTTAAGAGTTTTAGCCAAATACTTTGTAAGATAAGATAGATGTAGATATGCTGAAGAAGTGAAGTTGAGTAAAATGGAGGGATATTTTTATACTTGCAATTTACAAAGTTATATATAAATTTGAAGCCTCCCCCCTTTTAAACCCTAACCTTTAAACCCTAATTTTCAAAACCCTTCGTCTTCGTCGTATTCGAACAACACCAACAACCGGCAATAGAAATTTTCCACCATGCCAAAAATTCCGCTTTGGGATTTGCCTGAACTGCCGAAGAATCAGCTTCCTCCTCATCTTTACCTCCAGAAAACTCGAGTTTTCTGCAATAACGATGCTCCCACCCATGTACGATTCTATGTTCCTTAATCATTTTTGTCTCTTAGCATCTTCTACCCATTCACTGTAATCCAATCCTTTTTAGCTTAAATCTGTAAATTTTGCGATTGAAGAAACTGATGTTTCGATTAGTGTTTGGTTAAAAGGATGTCTGAATTTGGGTGTTTGATTTTTGATCATGAAGACAGAGAACATACACTACTCTGGTGCATATGCAGCATTGGGAGTCGATAACAGCTTAAGGTTGGATGAATTCAGGAAAAACTTCAAAGTTAAGGTGATTAAGCTCAATGAAGAAGACATGGAGTTTGATTTGATCGGGATTGATGCTTCTATTGCGAATGCTTTTAGAAGAATCCTAATATCAGAGGTATATTTCTGTTATGTAGTATGTATTCATGGATGATGCTTCTATTGTTTTATATGGTTGTTGATTTCATAAAGTTTGTGATATCTCCTACTGGCTTAATTTGATCACATTGACTACTTTTTTATTAGAATTGTGGGTCATCCTGTTTAGGGTCATTCCAATCTTTTTGGAGGGCTGATCGATTGGACGAGCAACAAATAAAACAAAATCTACAAGTTCATACCATATATTGTATTAGAAGTCTTGCAAATTGATACAACAAAAGTATCTTAAAGTGATAAAGAAACATATTAAATTAGCTTAATTAGAATCATTCTTCAAAAGCTGGAATTAGGAATTGCCAAAAGTGGCTAACAGAGAAAACTTAAAAACATTATAACTGGGCTAAAAAATGTATAATGCGAGCTAAAAGTTAAAACATATATAATTGGGTAAAGGCTAAAACATTAATAATCAGGCAATAAGAATTTTGGGGGCCTTGTCCCATATTGCACATTGGAAGTTGGAACACTCTCAGGCATGACCAGATCACTTCTGAATTCCTGCTGAATGGGATTTCCGGAGATTGGTGTAGCCCATTAAACACTGGACTGCAATTTTATTCATTAAATCTTGCAGTTCAGAGGTGAATAAGACCAGTATCTGTGTAATATGTGTACAATAACTGAAATCATAAGTGATTGTATTGAATGACTGGTGAAGCTGCATTACATTTCTTAGTTCTTTTTATACAGCTGCCAACTATGGCCATTGAGAAGGTTCTTGTTGCTAACAGTTCATCGGTGGTACAAGATGAAGTACTTGCGCAACGACTGGGTCTCGTACCAATAAAGGTTGACCCAAGGCTGTTTGATTATATGTCAGGTTTGATCTCCTAGATTCGTATTCTTTAATGCTCTCTTTACACTTCTAATCTGGCGCTTTTTACACCATTAACTTCTCCCTTCTTCAGAAAATGATGTTCCTAACCAGAAAAACTCCATTGTTTTCAAACTTCATTACAAATGTGATCGAGGATCTGGTGAACGACGCACAGGTATCAAGAACATTCTTACAGATGATGCTTCGGTCTTGACTTTTGAATAATATCTTACAGAAGCTAATTCATTTTCTTATGCTGTTCCTTCTTTATTTGATGATCATGATAATGGAACTCAGTGTACTCTCATGATCTAAAGTGGTTACCGTTTGGGAGTGAATATGTTCTGCCCACCGAAAGCTCTTCAGATTCAACATCAAAACCAAAGACGTACACATCATTTACTTCCAGCCAAGACTCCCTGCCAGAATTTGCCAATAATCCTATCACCGTCACACCTGGTATCATTATATCAAAACTTGGGCCTGGGCAGGTAAACATCAATTTAAAATATTTACCCAAGTTTACTTTTATTTGTATGTTTGTAGCTCTGTGCTAATATTTTCTATTGCCATTCTTGCTGCCAACCAAGTGTTGCAAGGTTAATCAAGAGATTATTACCTTCCAGTACTTCTATGATGAGTCGGAAAACTAAAGATCTTATCAGAGGGTCATTGGCCCAGAGGTATCCGGGTTACCGGAGAGCCCAGGCTCTTAGGAGGTCAAGGGTTCAAACCTCACCGTAGGTGAGGAGTGTGTGCAAGTATTTGCCGTATATATATATTGTATACTTCAATGAAACAAACTGAAGGTCTCTTTAGACATCCCGCTGACGATCAGCGATTAGCAACCTTTCTGAACCGCTTTTTCAAAGTTTTTGTGCAAGGTCTATGAACCTAGTAGCTCATCCTGCAATAATGCAATCTTATAGTTAGTGTATATGAATGTTTTCAAGGGAACAAATATCTTGGTGTAAGTTAAATCTTTCTTATTTCAGCTACTTTGTTTTTTAACTTTCTGAGGTGGCCAAGTCTCAGCCTTATATGAACTCGATTCTGTTTTTCCTGTATAAGAATGTACGAAAGAAACTCTAAACAGCCTTGAGGGCCGACTCAACTGACAAATAAAGGCTAGATCTTGGGGCTTCTCCTGATAGGTTGCCCGTTCGAGTCTTCTTAGAGCCACTTGGGATTTTCTGGCTGTGATCTTGAGGTCCCCATGGGATTAGCCTGGACACCCTCGGTTACAAAAAGGAAGACTTTGAACCACCTAATACTTTGATTACAACAACATGAGAGAGATACTGTCATCTTTTGATAGCTTGTAGATAGCTTCCTGCAGACCCTTAGAAAATGTAATTCAAACAACTCAAACCTAAAGATTTTGGGGTCTCTGTGCCAATAAATAGAATATGAGTGTTGAGTGAACACACACTGTGTTTACTAATTAACCCATCCAGCAGATTTCCAACAAATAAATCATCGATTAGTTTCTTTTCTTTACCTGCTTTTCCTATGAAGTGGTGCATTAACATTGAATTCGATGCTATTATCTTGTATGACTAATGTAGACTAACTTTTGGTAACTGTTGGTGTCTGGGCCAGCTTGCACACACCTCGAACAATTCAATGTGGCCCTGACATTAACAGTGCATATGCGCTAGTGGTCTTGAGGGGACTTGAACTGGTAACCTCTTTGGGGAGCAAATCCAAGGTCTTACCAGTTGAGCTACCCCTCAGGGTTAAAAATGGACTAAGTTGCTGGTCACATTATGATTATTGTGAGGAATTATCTCAATTCAAACTTTTCACGTGGATTGGTTCTTTACATGTGCAGGAAATCGAGCTAGAAGCACATGCTGTAAAAGGTGTTGGTAAAACACATGCCAAGTGGTCTCCTGTGGCCACTTCTTGGTACAGGATGCTCCCTGAGGTGATAACATAACTTCGTTTTCAATTCTTGACAGTTTTTTTACAAATATCTCGATTCTCATGTGATGGAAGTATAGAATGAGAGTTTTTTGCTCGTCGATTTTAGGTTATATTGCTGCAAGACATTGAAGACGATGATGCTCATAAACTTGTAAAGAAGTGCCCAGTTAATGTGTTTGATATTGAAGACGTGGGTAAAGGTACTTGACTTTTCCAATCAACATACGGTTTCTTTTACGTAAAAGCTAGTTGGGTATCAGTTGGTTATTAGTTAGTTTTATGGAGTTCAAAGAAAAGATGGAACAGACTTACATTTAATATTTTACCAATATAACCTCAAAGTAAACCTAATTCCTTTATAAAACATCAAATACGCCCCCTCTTTAAATTTTATTTGCTCTTTAAATTTTATTGATTGTATTTTTATGCTCTTTAAACTTTCACTTTACTGTCTTCAAAATATTATTTCTATACGTTTTCTATATTTTGATTAATTTTTGTAATTTTATGAAATATTAATAATAAAAATAATAATATAGAAAAAGGTATAAAATAAAAATTTGAAACTATAGAAGCTTTCTATTTTGGGGTCATTTTAATCGTTTTGATGAAAACTTTCTAATGAAATATTTTATTATAATTTAATAAATACATAAATTAATCAAATATATAAACCACTCGTAGGGGTAAATTGGTTATTTTATCTGTGCTGTCCTATCGAGTTCTGTCATAAGCTGAACAGTTGTTCTGTCCGCCAGCTTTCATCCTGAGCCAAGATCGAACTCTTCATGTCGAATTAATAAATGGATAGGGCCCCACAACTTCAATTAATTTCTCCTGTCTAGATGCCAAACGCACCCTTAAGGTTCTCAAATGAACCTCCTTCATGCTTTATAATATAGTATAGATAAATGCATCATGAGACTACAATACTAGACTTGCTATTTTCTTTATGTTGACTTCCTTTTGGAAGACGAGAATGCATATGCATTTGTTCGTTTACGATTCTAATGGAAGCACCCTTGTATATGCACACATTTTTCCTCGCCATTTCTGCTCCTTTTATCCAAAATTTCTAGAAGTAGTTTCCTGTCGAGCGTGGCTATAACTAATTCTTGATACAATACTACTTCTTTGGAGCAGGTCGGGAGAGGGCAACCGTGGCTCGACCAAGATCTTGTACTTTGTGCAGGGAATGCATTAGAGAGCCCGGATGGGAGGAAAAGGTGGCACTACGACGTGTGAAAGATCACTTTATTTGTAAGTAATAATCACGTAGTTATTGGTATCTATGTTTATTTGTGTTAGAGTCTCATATCAATTAGACTTGGACACTCTCTTTAGTACTCCCTCCGTCTCAAAATAACTGTGCAATTTAAAAAATAGTTGTGAAGAGAGATAAATTAATTAAGGGTAAAGTTGTCATTTGGTTAATTAGGGAGTAATAATTATGAATGTCTAAATTGTAGACATTTTTTTTTGGGACGGAGGGAGTATGTGTTAAAAACCCCATTTTGTTCTCAAGGGCTAATTTGGTAGATGATCTAATAGGATTTCCACATATTCTAACATGGTATCGGAGTCCCATACATGCTGTTGAGACATCTTTGCATGAGACTTGAAATCGTTGACATCTTTGCCTGTTTGGACCTCTTTTTTTTTTGGGGGGGGGGGGGGTTGTAAGAGTCCTATATTTGTTATACTTTGACACTTTCTGTTCAATATATGTTGGAACCCGCTATTCTCCTTAAGGATCTTTTGGAGAATAATCTAAAGGAGTAACACATATTCTCACAACTTGTTTATCCTCCATATGTTACTACAACAAAAATTGGTTTTTAAGACGTCAAAAATGTCTTAAGTGTTCCAATAAGCTGTTTTATAGGACTTAAGTTTATAAGACCAAACGGTAAAGCGTCTTATAAGAAAGTGTAGCAATAAGTTATAGTACGTTTTTGTACGTATGTCTTAACAAGCTTGTAGAACATTTTTAAAATAAAGTGTCATGTTAGCTATCTTATAAGTCACTGTTTGAAAAAAGTGTTCTATAAAAACAAGCGTCTTGTAAAAAGATGTGTTTATAGGACACTTCTCAAAAGTGTGGTCTATAAAATAGCTATTACGATGCTTTATTTCAAAAATGTTATGAAAAGTTTGTTAAAGACACCCAAGAGCGTTCTATAAACTCATTACAACACTTTTAGATATGACATTTCATTGTTTGATTCATAAACTTAAGTCATATAAAACGGACTTTGCGGACACTTAGATGTCCTACAAACCCGATTTTGTCGTAACGTACCCTTTGATTTCATTAACGTCACACCTCAGTTAGTGGTTACCGATTTGGGTTAAACTTGGTTATATTCATGGATTACAACAAATCGGATTAGTTACTAATTATCTATGTTCTTTCGTGTCGTAGTCACTATAGAGTCCACCGGAGCTTTGCCCCCGGAGGTGTTATTTACTGAAGCCGTGAAGATCTTAGAAGACAAGTGTGAACGCGTGATAACCGAGCTCTCATAAGCCAATTCTTTCTCGTTCAATTCAAGTTATACTTTTTTTTTGGTGATTTTGATGTATAAACTATCACCTTATTTGTAGTTCTCCATCTTGTATTAGTTGCATTTCATGTTCTAACTACGTTTTATTGAAGTCGAGGTCACTTGTGCGTCGTGTGTCGCTTTATTGATCATTTGCAATAGTAAATAGATCGTTTTTGGAAATGTACTTGTAATGTGCACATTTTCGTTCTATAAAGCAAAATAAACAAGCTTAGTATATCTCAACTGGAGGTAGAATTGGGATATGAGGAGCGTAGGTATGGCAACGGGGTGGGGATGGGGCGGGTTTTGTGATCCCTGGCCTCGGTCCTTGGCGGGTACGGGGATTAACATCCCGTCCTTGGGTTAATCCCCGTACCCGGTCAAATATCTATCAATTTTCGGTTAAAACCCGGTCAATCCTTGGTCAAATCCCATGAAGAATATCCGTTAGTTTGACTCTATCAGGGATCCTCGGCCTCGGCCCCGACCCCTGCCCCAATCCTGGTTTGAGTAACATCCCCCGACCCTGGCCTCGGCATCGGGATCCGTTTTAGCGGGGAATCTCCGTCCCCGTTCGGGTCGAGTGAACCGGGTTCCCCACCGGCCACCGGTGGGGGCAAATCATCATCCTTAGAGGAGGGTATGATGTACATAGATTTGATCTTTTAAAGCGAGGTAAGCTTGAAATTCAAAAAACTAGATATAAGTTAACGATAGCAATACAAATAGAACCAAGTACAGGGTAAACATAAAACCTAACTATCGACTTTCTAACCTTAACATGATTTTCTACAGTTCCAACACTGCTTAACAATGTTTAAATCGGTTTCATGTGGCTTAGGGGTTGTTTGGTAATTGCTGAATGGTTTGGTACAAAATGATTAAGTAGTCAGAATGATTAAGATACTCTTATAATATAGTGTAAAAATGAAATATAATTGTTTGGTAATTATTCAGAATGAAATTAGAGTGCTGAATGGTCAAAGGGATGACCAAGATATAAAATCATTAAGAGGCAAAACTTTATTTTTGTCAAACAAGATTCACCTCTTAACGATTCAGATGCTACCTTTTACTGGAACTATTAAGAGGTAAATAAACAATCCCTTATATATAAACAATATTTCCTCTATGTGTTTTTTGGTTAGATCTGTTTTATATCGTTACGGTTTATGAATGCTTTTTTTTTGTTTAGATTTGATTCAGTTTAAGAATTTTTTTTGGTATAGATTTTGTTTCATATGGTTTTGATCTACAAAAGATTATGTCTTTGTTTTTCTCTAATTGTCTCTGTAATTAAATAACAATATTGCAAATTCAATGACAAAAACCAAAACTTTAAAACTATAGGGACTAAAGTTGTAATTGTTTAAATCTATAGGGACTAAAAACACAATTTACTCTATGTTTTTAGAGTAAAGTTTAATTTTGGCCCTTTAATGTTTGTAAATTTCAACAAATATCATCTTTAAATTTTAAATTTTTAAATTTTGAATTTGGTCCTTTATGTTCGTCAATTCTCAACGATTTAACCCTATGTCTAATAATTGTTAACTTTCTCCGTTAAATCTAATTAAACAAGAAGTGTTTTAGTTATTTTTACTATTTTTATTATATTAAAATAAAAAATATTATATTTTAAATTTAAAAAAAAATAAAAGATGGTGGTTATTTTTTTTTCTATTTTTTCATTTTACAATTTAAAACTAAAAATATAATATGTTTTTTATTTTAATATGAAATTTAAAAACTCATGAAAATGACTAAAATGTCCTTTATTTATCTGGGCTAACAAAAAAGGTTAACAATAATTAGACGGAGGACTAAAACCGTTGGAACTTGTCAAACATGAGGGATCAAATCTAAGTTTTAAAAATTATATTAGGATGTTCAAAAAAACCGTTGGACCGCTTAAACCGGTCAAATCAAGTCATGGCGGTCCGATCTGAAAATAGCCAAATTGTTCAGTATGATCTAGTATGCGGTTTGAACGTTTTTGTTGAATGGTTTAGACCGAACCGACCGTCAAAAAAAAAAAATATATATATATATATATATATATATATCAGTTGTATTTTATTTTCATGTTATAAACTCAACTTTACGACCCAATTAGTGGTAAAAAAAAGGTCGTCCAAGACATGTTTTTATCGGTAAAAACTTCAATTTAAATATAAATGTTACGTTTTTCTAGGTTTAAAGCCCCTAAGAGGCCGAAACCGTGTAAACCGGTCAGACCACCCCGGTTTTTTTTGTGGTCATGTTTGACCAGTTTGGTCACGTGATACCAAACCGTTACGGCTTAAAATTTTTCCTAAATCGTCATTGTAGCTTGGTTTGTAGTTTGAGGGGTTAAAACCGTCTAAATCAAATCATAAACACCCCTAACATCGGTTGAAAATTGTAAACATTAAGGACCAAAAGTGAGCTTTAGGTGTCGTTTGTTTTTTAAGAGGTGCTGAACTATGAGTTCACTTTTGATTTATAGAGGTGGTCCTGAAGTCTGAAATCTGGATCAATAAGATTGTTTGTTTTTACGTCTGAACAGAAGCAAGAAAGTCAAATCAATGCAGCTTTCGTGCCCAACCTAACCTCTTTCCAGTCTAAATAGCCACCAGTGGCAATGGGGAGTAGTTCTTAAACTGTTGGAAGCTCTTGTTTTCGATGTCTACTCTGTATGCCTTTATTTGATCCCGAAGTATGAAATCTGAATTGGTCAAACTAGTGCAAAAATATAAAAGATAAATAGTTTTATTTACAAAAGTATAAAAGATGAACAGTTTTTGCTAACAAGTCTCTTCCAACTCTCGAAATATGAACCATGTGATAGACGTAAGATTAAAATTAAGAGGTATTAAGGGATACATTTACCACTTAAAATTTAAGAGGACATTTAAACCTTTTAAGCTCTTATTTTAAAAATAAAAAAAACGCTCTTAATACCTAAACATCTGAATGAATCAGATTTCAAAGATATTAATAGACTATTTTAAAAAAACAAACAATTAATTATTCTACAATTAAGATAATCATTGAGTTCTAACAAAAATACTTAATTATTATTCTTATAAAAAATTACATTATTAAATAAAAAATAAGCTACTTCGTTACTAAATCTAAATTAAATTATAATAAAAAATTTGAATTGAATAAATTAAAAAAAAACGTTTAAATAATTATTTTGATACTAATATTGATATATTTATTTTCGAAATTTTATGATATCTTTAAATTTATATTTTATTAAAAAATAAAAACATTATCCCTTTATGAAAACCATATAAAAACTGTATTATAACATCTATAAAAACAAAATAAAATAAAACATTAAAATTAAGATATATTTCGCTATATTATACGAATAATCTTTTAATTTATTTATTTTAATAAAACAATGGATAATGGCATCTCAATCTCAATCTGAACATCTCAGTTCGACTGTAAAAGCAATCGATTTGTCAATTGCCAACCCTCGATATTGTTCAAATGGACAAAAGAAAAAGGAATATTATCTAAAAAAAAGCATATAATTTCCCAAATAAATATCCAATTTTACAAACAATAAATTGTATGAAAAAGTAACGTATTATAACTTAATTCTTATTTTGAGTAACGTACTTTTATTTTAATACCTAAGATGTAAAGTTTTAAACATTCAAATACTCGGATAACCGGTTGAATTATATTGTTATAACTTATAATAAGAAAAATTGAAAGTACAAAATCATAATAAAAACAGTGTCTTAATAAAAACATTTTAAAGGTATATTGTTATAATAAGAAAAATTGAAAGTTCAATATCATAATAAAAACAACTTGAAAATATATTGTTGTAATAAGAAAATACAACGTCATAATAAAGAAATATGTGGAAGTAAGTTGATAAATATAATATATGTATGTATATGTATATGTGTGTATATATATGAGCGATCAAATGCAAACCACTCATATTTGTACAAACCGTATAAACCATTCTCATTTATTGATTTCATTGTTCAAGACGACACATTTTCATGAAATTGTTTAATCTTATGAAATTGTTTCATATAATACTTTATTTGATGAAGTTATTTCATATATGATTATGAAATTGTTTTATATATTACTTATGAAATTTTAATGAAATTATTTCATGTATTTCTCTAAAATTAACATAATGAAGATTATAATATTCATGATTAACACTCTGCACAATAAAAAATAATCAATCAACCTCTCATAATTACAAAATAATGAACAAAATAAAAAACTATGATTGGTTGAATGAAGTTTGTACAAATAACATGGTTTGCAAAGTAAACTCTCTCTCTCTCTCTCTCTTTATATATATATATATATATATATATATATATATAGGGGAGCGATCAAATGAAAATCACTCAATTTGTAAAAACTGTAAAAACCTCATTCCACCAATCATAATTTTTCATTTTGTTCATATTTTTGTAATTATAAGAGGTTGATTATTAATTTTATTGTAGAGTATGTTAATCATGGATATTATCATCTTTATTATTTTAATTTTAGAGAAATACATGAAACAGTTTCATTAAGTAGTATATAAAACAATTTCATAACCATATATGAAACAACTTCATCAAAAAAAGCATTACATGAAACAATTTCACAAGAGTAAACAATTCCATGAAAAAATTTCATAAGATTACGACGGATGAGAGTATACTTAAAATGACCAAAATACCCTCTTAGTTAACCTATTTACCATAAAAATCTAACACAGTTAGATTTAGGAACCCAATATGTTATAAAATACAAACCACAAGGATGTAATCCATAAATATTTTAAACTAAAGACTCAAAATGTTAAATCACATAAACCACAGGGACGAATAATGTAGTTTACTCTTTCTTGTATGAAGAACTAAAATAAAAATGAATTGTAAACCACATGAACGAAAAAGACAATAAAATTTAAATCATAAGAACGAAAAATGTAAAGTATTATAAACTATGGGGATGAAAATCATAATTTCAAAACCATACGAATGAAAATAGAAATTTTCAACAAACCACATGAACTAAAAACGTAACTTAGGGGCCGTTTACCCAATTGCTTACCCGGTAAGCGCTTACCGATAGAAGTCAACACTACGATTTATTTTGATGCGTAAGATTTTAGTATATTAAAACATATCGAATGCAACAAATTAGTGGGTAAGCGTTTATCTGGGTAAGAGTCGTCATCCTCACTTACCGGGTAAGACTCTCCATCATTCTCATCGCTCTTACCCAGTAAGATTCTTGACCCTTCTCATGTTCATTCGATGAGGAAATTTATGCGGTAAGTACTTGCCAAATAAGTGTTTAGTAAACGGTCTATTACTCTATAACTAATACTAAATTCTCCAAAATAAAGAACCTGTTATTTTTTCCTTTTAATTCTCTATATTAAATAGAATTATAGAAAATCTATTAAAAATGTTGTAAAGAACATTTTAACATAACTGTTAAAGAAAAACCATCTCTTAAATCTTTATTATAATATAACTGTTTAAAATAAGGCAAATTGCATGAAAAAATAATGTGCCTTAACTTGATTCATATTTTGGCTAACGTATTTTCAAAACTTTCATTTTAGTACCTAAGATGTAAAATTGTAAGCATTTAACTACCCGGGTAACAGGTTGAAGCATTAACCGGTTATTATGTTGATATGACGAATGATATGGTATCCAACTCAACATTATTTGCTGACGTGGTTAGTGACATGCATTTTTTTAATCTAAAATTAGTATTCAACCGGTTAATGCTGAAGAATGAAAAATTTCTACAAACCACATGGTCTAAAAACGTAGCTTACTCTATAGTTGATAGGGCAAATTGAATGAAAAAGTAACGTACTTTAGCTTGATTCATATCAAACTTCAATTGTGGTACCTAAAATGTAAAGTTTTAAATATTTAAGTACCTGGGTAACTGGTTGAAGCATTCACTATTTCTAGAATAAACCACAATACATAAAAACTAATTTTAGATTAAGATATCCATGTCAACAAATAATATTGAGTTGGATACCATATCATTCGTCACATCAGCATGATAACCGGTTAATATTCAACCAGTTACCCAGATACTTAAATGTTTAGAACTTTACATCTTAGATACCAAAATAAAAGTTTTAAAACCCAAAATAAAAATACAAAGTACGTTACTTTTTCATGCAATTTGTCTTTTAAAAGATTATCAGTAATAAAATAAAAAGGATATTAAAGTTTTTTTTCGATGTTCACGTTCCTTGGCTTTAGTAATTGTAATGGTAGCATCCCACAAGACATAGAGAGAGAGGGAGGCCCAGCACGCGACACCTTTTTTCATCTTTAGACCATAATTATGGGAGAGAGTGCTCTCACAAACTCTATTATTATTCCACCATTACTTCTTTAATTTTCTTTCTTAAATATCTTATTATTATATCAATTTGGGTTCACGAGAGACCAGTTTATTTTCATGAGATCTATAAGATCACTTTTTTATACTTGAAACTTCGCAGCGTTAGTAATCTTTCACGGTGTTTTTGCTGTGAAGGTTTTATTTTTTTTTTACCTTCATAACATTTTGTTGTAAAGTTTCAAGTGTAAACAAGTGGTCTCACGAAAACATACTGGTGTCACGTAAATCCAACCCTTATTATAGCATCGGTATCTCCAACAACTATATATATATATATATATATATATGAGCGATCAAATGTAAACCACTCTCATCTATCGATTTCATTGTTTAATTTAATGAAAATGTTTCATATATGGTTTAATCTTATGAAATTGTTTCATATATGGTTGTTTCTATGTTTTAATGAAATTGTTTCATGTATTTATCTAAAATTAATATAATGAATATGATAATATTCATGATTAACATTGTCCACAAAAAAATAATTTATCAACCTCTCATAATTGATTGAATGAAGTTTGTACGGTTTGTACAAATAGCGTATTTGCAAAGTAAAAACCCCCTTCACACACACACTCTCTCTTTCTCTCTCTCTCTCTATATATATATATATAGACACACACAATTCCAATTCTATTACATATACATCAAAAAAACATGCCCTAATTTTGTGAGGTTAACTCAACTAACAGTAATATTTGAGCATTTGGAGATTATCCTCAAAAGTCACCGATCCGACTCCTACAAGACTACTGAAGATTTTCTTGAATGTTCTCCAGGATCCCTAGTGTTAATCAACATGACGAAGAATCATGGGAGAAGAGAAGTTAAACTGAGAAACATAAGGAAAAAATCCAAACCCTCGATCACTTTTAATCTCATGCCCACACATAAATTGCGTTTTAGAAGGAAATTGACCCGCTACATCCCGATACACATCATCAATATTGACATTCAATTAAGATGGATCAAAATATAAAGATACCCTCTTACCCTTTTTACCGAAACCCAACCCTAATCAAAGTACGTATAAACTGACATGATGATACATACAAACAACTAACAAATCAAACTCAGTTAAAATATTATTCAAACAAATTTCTTATAAGAATTTGTGGCATTAAACAAATACCATCAATCATAATTTAAAAGCTTCACCAAAAATGGTTGTTTAAGTGGATACCCTCCTCTTCCTTCCCTTTCCCTTTTCCCTCTAATGTTGATTGATGGCTCAACAAGAACCCCTAAAGTTCTCATCTTTCAGGTAAGCTTTTATTAGAGGACTCCTTTTCTTTTTCTACTTTTTTATTTATTTATTTATTTTATTTATAAATTAAAAAAAAAAACCTTTATTTTCTGTAAATAATCCTTTGAATATTGTTAATGCAAGTGGGTTTTTGCTTCTCTCCAATGGCCCTCCATTTGTTTTCTTTTAGGTTTTAATGGGTGTTTGTGGGGATGGTTTTTTGGTAGGGTTATAATGGAAGGAAGGTGGGTCTCTTCCAAGAAATCAAGACTCATGTGTTCTGCATCTACCCTTTTTTCATTTTGCTTCATAATCTTCATGGGTTTGTTCTTATGAATCTTAACCTCCCAACTTCATTTTCTACACAAAAAACCCTCTTGAAATCATCACATTTTATGCAAATCTGTGGATTCTTTCTTGGAAAAAGGTTCTTGATCTTAACTCCAGCTTCATTTCTGTAAAAACCCCACTTGAAATCATCACATTTTCTCTGCAAATCTGTGGATTCTTTCTTGGAAAAGGTTCTTGATCCTAACTCCCCAACTTCATTTCTGTAAAAAAAAAAAAACCCTCTTGAAATCATCACTCTTTCTATGCAAGTCTGTGGATTTCTTTCTTGGAAAAGATTCTTGATCTTGTGAAAAGCTGTAGTAGAACTTGCTTCCATCTGGGTTAACACTGATTTTAGCATCATTTTCAGGTAAATCAAAACTTGGGTTTCTTGATAAATTTCATCTTGATCATATAATCTGGTGTTCAAATCAGCTGTTTGAATGTTTTCCATTGATGAGTTCTTGAAATTGTAACTATAAAAGATACTCTTGATTTGTAGTAAACTTGCCCCCCAAAGATTTTCTGTATATGTTAGTAAACTTCC